GGAAAGAAACATATAAGCAGACAAACTCTAAGCCATTTTTTATGCCATAAGGGATGAAAGAGAGAACATACAGTGAGTCACAGTAAAAGTTGAGCCTATAACTATGTCTAGGAGAAAAACAGAACTAAACACTAAAAAATAGACCCAACTATATCATCTGTAATTGAAGATGTTGATGGCAGCAGCCTAGCTGCATCCCTCCAAGACGGTGCTACAGCAAAACAAGCCGAGACCAGGTGAATCTACAATGATGAGAAAAAGCAGAGTGAACATAAAGTTAGGAGAAACATCTGAAAGGTGAGAAAATTGTAGAAAATAATATGTATGGAGGAAAAGTAAAAAAGCTACAGTCAGGTCCATAAATATTGGGACATCAACACAATTCTAATCTTTTTGGCTCTATACACCACCACAATAGATTTGAAATGAAACAAACAAAATGTGCTTTATCTGCAGACTTTCAGCTTTAATTTAAGGGTATTTACATCCAAATCAGATGAACGGTGTAGGAATTACAACAGTGTGTATATGTGCCTGCCACTTTTTAAGGGACCAAAAGTAATGGGACAATCTGCTGCTCAGCTGTTCCATGGCCAGGTGTGTGTTATTCCCTCATTATCCCATTTACAAGGAGCAGATAAAAGGTCCAGAGTTCATTTCAAGTCTGCTATTTGCATTTGGAATCTGTTGCTGTCAACTCTCAATATGAGATCTAAAGAGCTGTCGCTATCAGTGAAGCAAGCAATCATTAGGCTGAAAAATCAAAACAAACCCATCAGAGAGATAGCTAAAACATTAGGTGTGGCCAAATAAAGTCTTTGGAACATTCTTAAGAAGAAAGAACGCACCGGTGAGCTCAGCAACACCAAAAGACCCGGAAGACCACAGAAAACCACTGTGGTGGATGACCGAAGAATTCTTTCCCTGGTGAAGAAAACACCCTTCACAACAATTGGCCAGATCCAGAACACTCTCCAGGAGGTAGGTGTATGTGTGTCAAAGTCAACAATCAAGAGAAGACTTCACCAGAGTGAATACAGAGGGTTCACCACAAGATGTAAACCATTGGTGAGCCTCAAAAACCGGGTTAGAGTTTGCCAAACAACATTAAAAAAAGCCTTCACAGTTGTGGAACAACATCCTTTGGACGGATGAGACCAAGATCAACTTGTACCAGAGTGATGGAAAGAGAAGAGTGTGGCGAAGGAAAGGAACTGCTCATGATCCAAAGCATACCACCTCATCAGTGAAGCATTGTGATGTTAGTGTCATGGCGTGGGCATATATGGCTGCCAGTGGAACTGGTTCTATTGTATTTATTGATGATGTGACTGCTGACAAAAGCAGCAGGATGAATTCTGAAGTGTTTTGGGCAATATTATCCGCTCATATTCAGCCAAATGCTTCAGAACTCATTGGACGGCGCTTCACAGTGCATATGGACAATGACCCAAAGCATACTGCGAAAGCAACCAAAGAGTTCTGTAAGGGAAAGAAGTGGAATGTTATGCAATGGCCAAGTCAATCACCTGACCTGAATCGGATTGAGCATGCATTTCACTTGCTGAAGACAAAACTGAAGGGAAAATGCCCCAAGAACAAGCAGGAACTGAAGACCGTTGCAGTAGAGGCCTGGCAGAGCATCACCAGGGATGAAACCCAGCGTCTGGTGATGTCTATGCCTTCCAGACCTCAGGCTGCAATTGACTGCAAAGGATTTGCAACCAAGTATTAAAAAGTGAAAGTTTAATTTATGATTATTAATCTGTCCCATTACTTTTGGTCCCTTAAAAAGTGGCAGGCACATATACACACTGTTGTAATACCTACACCGTTCATCTGATTTGGATGTAAATACCCTCAAATTAAAGTTGAAAGTCTGCAGATAAAGAAAATCTTGTTTGTTTTATTTCAAATCCATTATGGTGGTGTATAGAGCCAAAAAGATTAGAATTGTGTTGATGTCCCATTATTTATGGACCTGACTGTAGTACACATCTCCTTTAGTGTGCAATGTGCTAGTAGCAGGATCTTTATTGTAGGGATGGATTTCTTTGGACATAGTTGATGAAAATATGTCTAAACACAAGTTAATCATTTTGGATGCAGCAAAGTATTTGTTTTTGTTGTTCTTTTTAATTAAAACCTATATTTACACAGATAGTTTCACTAAAACGTGAGTTCTCATTTACAGAAGAAGCCTGTTAGTCTTGAGACTGGGATGTTTTTTTTTTTTTTTTTACTCTTTTGCAACAACCAGAGATACAATTGGATGGTTTATGTCAAAGCAGTTTCATGTGTTAGAACACCCCAGTCAGTCTGTACCCAAATACATCCGCAAATCTGTGGCAAGAGTTGAAAACTGGTGTTCACAAGTCCCTATCCATTCTAAGTTTGAGCTAATTTGCATGAGGATAGAAAGTATTTCAGATGCTAGATGAAGAAAGCTGATAGAGAAGAAACTAAATGACATTCTGCTGAAATTGATTCAATAGATGGTTCTAAAAAAAATGTTTTTTTGTTTAATTCAGTTCTTAAGTCATTTATTTTTATTGAGTTTAACAGATATGAGCACATATGTTATCTAGAGGGGTAATGCAGTTGTTGATGAATAGAGTTATTAATATATATTGGTCTATTTGACCACAAGGAGCATCTGTTCTTCTGCTAGTGATCCCCCGTAAGATCTTCATTGTAATGTATGGCATTAATTTTCCAAAAACGCAGACCCTCATTGTCTTAGTTTCAGCTAGTCTGTTTCTTTGTGCATAGATTGTAAACTGATCCTAAAGGCCAATTTATTCTTCTGATACATAGCCTCTGCAAACGTCAAATCTATCTCTGTGTGACCACACCCCCCATGCAGAGGTTCTGCAACTGCCGCTGCACACATAAAAAAAATCCAGTCGTGATTGCTCCTTGATATGCCTTTCCGGCTGTCTGTGTGGTCGTCCTTCTCGATTCGGTATCGGAGCGTACCATTTTTAGAAACCGAGGAACAACTACAATGGACAACTACGACGAAAGGTTAATCGAGAAGGTTCAGAAGTACAGCAACTCATACAATGCCTCAGACAAATTGTCAGAGATGGGAAGTAACGAAGTACAAATACTTCGTTACTGTACTCAAGTAGATTTTTCTGATATTTTTACTTTACTTTACTACTTATTTTTATGGCGACTTTTTACTTCTACTCCTTACATTTTTACACAAATATCTGTACTTTCTACTCCTTACATTTTAAAAAATTGGCTCGTTACTTTAGTTTTGAATCATTTCAATGGAGTTACCATTATTATTTTTCACGTCATCAATGCCAAATTCAATCTAATTGGATGGGAATCTACGTTGCATTTGACGCACCACTACAAGACGAATTGACAGATTCGGCGGTATTCATTGGCGGCAAATCATTGCATCTTGGTGGCGGTGGCGTTAGCATAGTAGTATGGACGACGAGATGATTGAAAATGAACACAACGGAGATCTAGTCCTATTGGCAGACATCCATTTAAAATGTAGGCAACGGCATGAAAAAAGTGGTTTCTACTTTTACTTTTATACTTTACAAGCCTGTACTTTGTTACTTTTACTTGAGTAAAGAAGTTTAATCAGTACTTCCACTTTTACCAGAGTATTTTTTAACACAAGTATCTGTACTTTTACTCAAGTACGGAAAGTGAGTACTTTTGCCATCTCTGCAAATTGTATAAAGATGCCAAAGTCTCTGCCAAAAAGAAGTTCTCGTACCCGTCCGTTGAAGTTCTTGTGAGTTCTCGAATAGGCTCCAACTTGCGCTTTGGCGGGAAACTTCTATGTTTCCCTAGAAATTCCAGACCGACGGTGCAGAAGCATACCAGTAAATCTGGTTTGTGACCAGACCCAAGCAACATTTGATGTGTGCGGTTGCAGAAGTCTAATCAGCTCATCAGCTGTACCATTGGGTACCATTAGGTTACATTGTGATTATGTCGCGCTATATATGTTCTGATACCACTTTGAATAAGTGAAAAGCACCTGTGTTTCATAAATTGGCGTCTTCTGTAGAGATATAGTCAAGGACGGTCCATCTGTAGTTTAGGACTGATAGTTAACCACAATAATCTGGTTTATGACCAGAAGTTAAATGAACTTATCAAGGAAAACTTTTAACAATATTTAACTACATGAAGATCATTCTTGTCCTGTTTCCCTGTGTTGTTCCTTGATTTCTTTGGAACCTATTATGGCACAAGAGACGCATTGCAACAAACTAAATATGACTGTCAAACTTTCTGAAAGGGGTGTTGGCCCAACAGAAAACACTTAACAAGGTTTTGCCTGTAGGACGAATATGTGTAAAAGTTCATTGAAAATGAATCTTTTTGCATGACACAGTTGTCTTCAGGGGCCCCTGTGTCTTAAGGCATAGCTGGACAGGATGCTTTTGTTTGGGACAAAAATGCAAAATGAATCAGACATGTACCCATCTTATACTTCTTTGGACAGGCTGAGGTGATGCCTTTGCACCAACGCCTCAGAGGGTGCACCCCCCTTCTCCCCTCTTTCTGTCCCTGAGTGACCCGGCTCCACATTCTAACACTGCACCAATGCCAGAAGCAGCAAATTAGACACCGGCTGCAGCCCCTCCTGATATGTACCTCTCTGTCCTACATCCATTATTTTTAGCTGGAATCCAAGACTCCATCCTTCACTTTATATGGGAGAAGGATGCCTTATATTTTCAGCCAGATCTAAATCTATCATATAATTTATCTTCTTCATAAGGTGAGAAAAGCAAAGACATCCTTTCAGTTCCAATTCTTTCTTTTTTTTTGCGTTTGACTGGTTGGGCCATCATTGTCTCCCTCTTGCCCTGTTTTGCAGACATGTAGCAAAGACTTAAAGACACCTACACACAAAGTTGACACCCAACCAACCACCTCACCCCTACTCAGTTACACCCAACATAGGCGGATACTGTCCCACCTATGTCAAACTTAGCCCTGCCCCTCCAGTGCCCAGGGCCTCACTGCCAGTTTCCCATGTGGGGTTTGTAATAAGGTGGATCCAGGAGTTAGTCCTGCTCTCTTCTGGGTGACGCGGATTGGAAAGGGTTCGACAAGAAAAGGTTTTCTTTAACCCCACTAAGTTATACAGTAGTACATTCACCTGTAGAGGAAATTGAAATTGTTTCAAAGATAGACCATGAAGTGGACGTGGGTGCTTGTGGCAGTCTTGCTGTCATTTGGGGGGCAATCACTGGCCAAGGAAAGCTTGGACTTTCCTGAATATGACGGTAAGGACCGCGTACACAACCTCAACGCCAAGAACTACAAGACCCTGATGAGGAAGTACGACGTTATGGTAGTGTACTACCACGACCATCCCGGATCCAGCCGCGTCGCCCAGAGACAGTTTGAGACTGAGGAGTTGGCCCTTGAGGTAGGTTGAGCTGAAAAAGGAGTAGATCTAAAATTGCTGTTTTTTTGTATTTTTGGGTTTAAAGGCTAACATTAAAATATTGTAATTGTTTCAGAAAGCTAATTATGAATGTATGAATAATTTTCAAAAATTGAAATGCATGAGAAAAATAAATATTTTGTTTTTTTGTTTCGTTCTTTTTCACCATGTATGTTATCCATTGCATGCACATAGAAATCAAACATTCATTCCTTTAAGCCTGGAGACTCAGCAGTTTTCTCCTCATTACATCACCATCCAGTATCAGCCCTCAAGGTGTCCAACAGCTAGGATAATTCTGAGTTAACATATGTATTTATAATGCATTAAATATCACATGTTTCTCAAACAGTGTTTATGCATTTAGTCATACAAAAAATACCAATTGCTTTACATTTGAAAAAAAGAAAGGATGTACGGTAAATGATTTATAGAATGAAGATATCTCTAGCCACAGTATATTGTTGCATTCAGCATGTGCTGTGTGCTGGTTAACTGCATGGTACAGAGATATGCAATGAAGCTTATCTCTCTCCTATTATGGACATTCAACAACCAATATGAAGATCCAAAATGAGGTTTAAAGGGTATCACTTTTGGCCCATGATAATGAATTTTTAAAGGAAATACCGTAGTGAAACATAAGTCTTTGAACATTAAAAGTATACAAATATAACTGAAATATCCGCGTTTAACTTTTTCATAACATAAATAGACTGTTAAATATATGTCGTAAACATAAATAATTAAATCAATTGTTTGGAAAATTAAATTGACAGTAACATATAAGTAAAACTGTTAAAACAAAAAAAAAAGCTGGAGATTGAAGTGAGCATCTGCCTCTAACATATCACATCATTTCCACAGGCTCTGGTGTCTCTGTTTGGGATTGCAGGTGGGGGTGGGTTGGGTTGTTTTTGGCCTGGTCAGAGCTTCAAGCCTGCACTGGGGCTACTGGATCCAGTGATGCCACCTCAGCCCTCTGCTGAGACTGACACTCACAGTACTGTACTTGTCAGCGGATCCTGAATGCTGAACATCACTGCTGCCTCACCAAAATAGTCCTTGGGTTGGTGTTGCTCCTTGGGTTATATTTAACCTGAGATACTTGAGTTAAGAGGGTTGAGTTTCTCTTTGCAAACGTATAATGATTTTGACTTCCAAAGGTGTTATTGTTATTTAGACGCAAACGGCAGAGCATTTCCAAGGTTACGGTGCACTTTTTGTATTGCTGCATGATAAATTACCTTTATCTAATGAATAATAATATTGAATGACATTCAATCAATTTGAAGCTAGCATAGCTACCCCTGTGTGATGATGGTAACTCATCATCAAATGACAGTTCATGTCATTTCCAAAAAAGTAAGTGCTAAAGACATGTCAATTTATCGCTTTTAATTTTTGCAAATCCAATTAAGCTCTAAGCAATGCAAGGGATCATCTGCACAACAACCTGCAGGACAGCCTGTTTACTCTGCTATTTATGACTGTAAAGGCAGCTGCTCAAGATCTCTTACACCATTTACATGCGTCTACATGAGCAAGTAAGCGAGCAAGGAGGCAAGTGCTTTCAGTCTCGAAATGCACTCAGACAACATTAAACCACTTCCTCGATGCAAGAGGGCCGCGGCCCATTGGTGGAATCAACTGTCAGTCAAGAGGTTCATGTTTCATACAAATTTAGAAAGTGCAGGAGCAGCTCTCTGAAAAGCAGGCTTTTATGGTCATGAGGCTCCTGAGTACAATTTTTGTGAATATGCGTTCATGTTTTAACTACATATAGAAAAAACCTGGTCTGGTAACAGTGTTTTGTGTTTTGTTTTGGCAGCGTGCAGCACAAGTCCTGGAGGAATTTGATGACGAGGATATTGGAGTTGGACTCATTGATGCAAAGCTCGACAAAGTGGTTGCAAAGAAATTAGGTAATTAAGGTCACATACAGATGGTAAAAAGATGGAGAAATCCTACCCTAATTCTGATATAACATCACAAAACCATCCCACCCCTGGGAGCTTTCGTGATATAAAACCACAAATATCAATGTATTCTTTTAGAACTTGGTAAACTAACACTACATTGCACTTATTTTAGTAGGGGAAAGAAAATGACTGATGTTTTATAAACCTGTTGACATGTAAATAAACTACATTTGTAATCAGCCCTTTTAATTTAAGGCTTTATAGATACACCTATTGCTGCATTTAAAACTGCAAGTCTCTTGCATTATGTCCATTTAAGTTTTGCACATCTAGATTTTTTTCCCCCAATACTTAGAAAATAAACTCACTTAATCTAGATTGTATGGAGGGAGTCTATAAATGTATAAACGTATTTTGCTATTTATAGCTTCATCCATTTTCCACCCCCACATCATAATACTGCCTCCAGCACATTTGATCATGTGGAAGTTGGTTTGAGGGGGGTGTGCAGTGTTGATTCTTCTCAAATAGCATTTTCTGTGTAAGCCAGAAAGTTACATTTTAGACCTAATATGAACAGAGCACCTTATTCTCATGTTTTCTTTGTCTTTGCATAGTTTTAAAAAGGCAAACTTGTGGCTTTCATCCACTTGACGTGCAGCTGCTTTCCTTGTCTGGACAGGTTTAAAGGTTTAGGTATTATTTTTACGCTTTTTTAACTTCTTCACAGCTTTGTCCCTGAACCGTATGCTTCATTCCAGTCTCCATAATGTAGTTTATTCACTAAAAATCTTTAGCAAACTCCTGAGGCTTTCAAAGAAGGGCTGTATTTATAATGAGATGAAAGGGCAGACAGGATGACGCTAATTACTAAGCAGTGCTCTTCTGAAGGAACTTGATTACACAGAATTTTATTTAGGGTATATTATTGAAGAAGATGGTTTATATCTGACCTTCCATTTCATAGTTATATGTTTCTTAGTGCAGGTCAGTCCCAATGAAATACATTGATTTTTGTGAAAAGGCACGCATATTTTTTTGTTTAGCTTGATGCTCTCTACAGTCAGTCCTTTAAAAAGCGTTTTTTCTTCCCAGAACTCGATGAGTCCGACAGCATCTTCATCTTCACCGACGATGAAGTTATAGAGTATGATGGTGAACTTGAGGCAGACACGCTTGTGGAGTTCATCTATGATGTTCGTGAGGATATAGCATGTCTTATTTAAGCATGAAGTAATATCAATATTTAGAAACAGAAATCAGAAAAATCCAGACTCTTTTTACATTTACTTTTTTTTTTATAGCAATAGTCCATTTCCATTCACAGTAAATTTATTAAGTTATATTACTATGCATGTCATTTGCTAACAATTAATCTAGGTAAGACCCACCAGTTGTACTGAGCACTAACTTTGCAGCTATTCCTCGTCCTGAGCAAGCACATGGTGACAGTGAAAAGAAAATACTAAATCTAAACAGTGAGAAACCTCCAGTAGAGTCGAACCTGACATCTGATCCCATTGAAACTGAGGGAAAAAGCAAAACAACACTGTTCCAGAGGAGAACGTTTTCTCAGGAAAAAAAAAAGCTATTATACATAGTTAATTGCACTGATAGCTATGTCAGTTTTTATTCCCAGTGACGAGACAGCTAAGCAATGAAACAGTGTCCCTGTAGTAATTTCCATACAACAATGAAATACAAAATTTTACAGAGACTTAGACTTTGACAACTTTTATCTTTTTATATACACAGAGTGTATACAAAACGAAATGTCTTTTAGTACAGATTTTCAGACAGAGTACACATGTATATTAGAATCAATTATATGAATTCAACCAACAGAGCTAGGCTTGCAACAAAGAAAAGTCAACAATTCTTGTAAAGCCTTACAGTATGCAGGGTTTTATTAAATCTTGATTGCCATTACTAACTAACATTTTTCCAACATGGTTAAACTACTTAATTTGAGTCCTACATTATTGTTAAACTGTAACGCATGTATTAACAACATTGAGACGATATTTTGTCTCTTTCCAATAAAAGCTTTTTTTTTTTGCTGCTTATGTGAATGTTTCACCAGATTCTCACTGCTATACCCTTTTTTTTTTCCTCCCAAAGCTTCTCGAGGACCCTGTGGAAATTATTGACAACAGCAGGGAACTGAAAGGCTTTGAAAACATCGAAGAGGACATCAAATTGGTGGGCTACTTTAAGAGTCACAAGTCTGAACGTAAGAATATTGTGATGGCATGATTATCTGTAACACAATACTGTGTAGATAGAAAGGAGATTAACATCATAAAGCCGGGTATATTAGCAAAGATCTTCCTTTAATTTAAACATGCACACAATCAGTATTAGTGATGTGTATATTCTTTGGTCTTTATGCATGTATGCTAACCTTGCTGAAATAAATTGACCAATAATTGTAAAATTGTTTCATAGATTTCGAAGCATATGCTGATGCCGCTGAAGAGTTCCATCCTCACATCCAGTTTTTTGCCACCTTTAATCCTAAGGTGAGCTAATTTACATCTGAATGAGCCAGTGATCACCAAATAAATGCTATTAATGCTGAGAAGTTTGGTTATTAATCAGAACTACAGGCTTTGAGCATATCAGCAAACACCTCACCCCATATGTCAAGCCATTATTGGAGAGACCTGTAGTTGCTAATTATTTATAAACTCTTGCAAGCATAAAAAAGGTAAAGTGGAGCTATCTTCTTAGTAGGTACATAAGAAAATTACAAAAAAGTCACTGACCATGAAAAAATCTAAAATACTGGAAGGGCCTAGTCAAAGTCAAGATGTAAACATTTTCATAATGGTATATTGAGCTCATAAGGGAAAATTAATGAAGCAATACTCTTAAGAACCCATAAACAACATTGTGAGGTGCTTACTTGCCAATAGGACTGCATTTACTACTTTTATGTTTAGCACTTGATCCTGTTACCATTTGTCAATTTTGCATTTAGTTTTACTGTCACATACAGTATTTATTTTCCTGTAGGGGCTGTAATGTTATGGCTCAGGGCATCAATGATACACCTACGGCTGAATAATGAATTACATTCCTCATTTTGTCACAGGTTGCTAAGGCCCTTGAGCTGAAGCTCAATGAAGTGGACTTCTATGAACCCTTCGTGGATGACCCTGTGGTTATTCCTGGAAAACCTTACACTGAGAAAGAACTAGTGAAATTCATCGAAGATAATGACAGGTAGCTCCTACTTGTCAGCATGATGCAAGATTTTATAAGTGAGAAGTGTAACGGCCTGAATTAACTAAAAATGCTTTTATTTTAATACATTTGTGGTTGTTTAGACCAACACTGAGGAAACTGAAACCCAGCAACATGTACGAGATCTGGGTAAGATCCTTTATACTGTACTTCCAGCCTTGTTGTAGTTTGAATCACTAATTCTGTTATGGAGATACGTTCAGCTAATTTAAACACTGAACATATTTTTTAACTTCCTGATAGTATTTCAATTTTAAGTCTTTTAATACACATCATAAAAAAAGCATATATATTTTGTTCACAGGAGGATGATGTTGATGGAGAACACATTGTCGCTTTTGCAGAGGAGTCAGATATCGGTAAAGGACAAAAAACTTAAATAGAACAGATGCGCTAATATAGAGAGAAAATGTAACTCAGGAAATACATATTACTGAGTTTATCATAAAGAGGCAAAGAGAACAATCTCCAAGGATTTACCTGCCCTGTCCTCTTTTGCTCAACAGATGGCTTTGAGTTCTTGCACATCCTGAAGCAAGTTGCTGAGGATAACACAGACAACCCTAACCTCAGTATTGTCTGGATTGACCCTGATGACTTCCCTCTGGTAAAAAAAAGAAAAAAAAGTTTCTCTAGAAACAAATGAAAACTAAGATTTAATGATAAAAATGCTGACGTGTGCTACAGGTGGTAACAATGGTTACATGACATTTTTTTTTTTAATTTCACCTAAAGCTTTTGCCACACTGGGAAAAGACCTTCGGAATTGACCTGTCCCACCCACAGATTGGTGTCGTTGATGCTGATGATGTAAGTATTTGTGATTAGGAAATCATTGTACATTTGCATATCTTGTCTATTCATAAGTATTAAGGTTAATCAATTTTACATTTTAGTACAGAACATTTAACTTAAATTCACAGGGATGTTACATTTTTATTAAAGTGGATTGGCAGTAGTTTAAGCTAATCATGAACAAGAAAATCTATATAAATGGTTTTGAATTTAGCTTAATTTAATATAAATAGAAATGGCTGTTATGTTCTCCCTTCATGATTTTGCGCCTTTACAATTTTGATCTTCTCTTATTGCCTATGATATGGAGCCAGTCATTTGTACAAAGAGGCTTCAGTTTGTTCTCTCTTAGTGAAATTTATAACTTGTGTGATCCAGCATTAGTTTAGTTTGGGGATATTCACAGGTCACTATGTTGATCACTATGTTGATATTGTCCTTGGTGAGTAAGAGAGACCATTTTTAATTGCATAGAGTTGTGAGGTGGAGGGTTATAGCTTTTGTCTGTTCAACTGTGCTGAGGAGCACTGCTCTGGCCTTCAATTGTGCTTGAAGGCGTCGCATTTGAGAATGACCTTTTTCTTCTGGGAAACCTTAATGTGGGTGAGACTTAGATCTATTGCATTAGAGCAGGGGTGTCAAAGTGGTTCCAGAAAGGGCCGTTTGGCTGCAGGTTTTCTTTCCAACCAAGCAATAGCACACCAGACTCAAGTCATCTCATCCATTGAGTCCAATCTGGTGTGCTATTTTTTGGTTGGAAAGAAAACCTGCAGCCACACAGCCCTTTCTGGAAGCACTTTGACACCCCTTCATTAGAGAGAGTTTGATTGTGTGGCAGGGCAGCTCTTAATCCAGGCATACACTGCGATTTATTTACCCTTTTCGGGCCGACCTTCCAGTCATGCGAGAACTTTTTTGATCGGCCTGACTTCCAGACTGATCGTGCATCTTGTAGTGCAAAGGGGGTAGCGAGGGGCGATCAGCCTCTCATGACCACCTCCTGATCAGGAATCATGAGGTGAAAGTCAAACATGTTTGATTTTCAGTTAACCGTCGTCGGCAAATCACTCAGAGGGCATGCGCAAACAAGGATTCCTATTCTTCTTCTTCCTCTCAGACGAAAACACAGAAGCATGGCAAGGGTGTGGGTGAAATGGAGTTCTTTCTGTAAAATTGACAGACTGTAGTAGCCACATTTGCTCAGCCAAGTCTTTGTGTAAATACGTCATCACCTTTTCTACTTAGGGCTTTCAGCACACAAAATTGCACAAATTGCCAAGGCAGCACATTTCACTCTGATGAGCTTCATATTCCTCCTCTACTGGTTTGGCTCCTGGATAGACAAGTCTGAGTATTGCCATCTCACTGCGGAGCTGAGTCCGACGTAATCTTTAGTCGTACAGTGTGAGCAGGTAGATCGCATCAGAGCGTCCTGCTGCACAGTGTGAGAACATGCATCGTGAGCTGTGAATGCACACTGTACATCGAAACCCTGAGGTTTCGTCATACAGTGGGCTGTAGCTGCGTGCAACGATTGCCCAGTGTATGCCCGGCTTTATAGAGACCTGGTAAACGTAGCTGGTCAGTAAGGAGTGGATTAACGCACCTTTTCAGATAACTCATTTTTTGTTCAGATAGAGATTGAGATCGTAGAATCTGAATGGGCCATCTGTAGGATACTCATTGAAGTGTGTCTAGCAAGAAGCTATGGCCTAAAGTTCACTGGTTATAATATTAATAATTTAACCTTATTTATCTCACATTGGAGAAGTTTACCTCTGTATTTAACCCATCCCCTTGGAGAGCAGTGGGCTGCCATCTTTGGGGCGCCCAGGGAGCAGTGTGGGGTCTTGCTCAGAGACCAAGTGTGGCAGTCTGTGGAGTGGGGCTCAAACTCAGAACCTCAGGATTCCAAGCTCTATGCCCTAACCACTAGGCTGCCACTACCACTGGTTACTTTGGGACTGATGCTAGAGGAACTGTTGCTGTGCTTAAGCAGTGGCTAAAGTTTTGAAACTGAAAGTGACACCCCTCTGGCTGGGATATGTCTAGGGAATCCTTGACAACAGCAGATGAGTACTGCATAGCCAGACGCACTGCATTTTCTGTGGTTTCAGAGGGGAAAACTCTGACTAAAATTGAATTTGGAGAAACTATACACAAATATGTTGGTTGGGCTTGAGTAAGCTGCAGCAAACCATGTAATAATGAAAAAAATAAATAAAAAAAGAAAGTCCATCAAAAAATATGTTTAGTAAGAGGATGTGATTGCATACCTGGACTCAGGATGCATGAAATAATCACTTTAAGAGCTCCTCCATGTTTTCTGCTTAGAAGGAAGAGTCTAAGAAAGTAATCTAACTCTTCAGTCCTCTAGAGGCCTTTTCGTAAAAAATCTAAATCTATTTCTGCTTCGACTCACCTGACTAAAATATTTGCTCATTAGCAGAGCTCTTTACAGGTTGCCTATGTTCTAGTGAATTAGGTTAGCAATTTGGTTAAGGTGTGTAAGGGCAAGGGATGCATTTAAAAGTTGCAGGAGAATGGCCCTCTAAAATTTGAGGACAAGAGCAAGCTGAGTTAAGCTTGGTTTATGCTTGATGCGTCCGCATGGTCTGCATGACCAAATTCCTAAATTTTGGGCTTCCATACCTCTCTGTGCTGTGCCCTTGCAGACAGTATTTCCGCACTGTGCACCAAGGAACATGTCTAACTACACAGACAGATCCGAACGGAAAACATGGCAAGCAAGCAGCAGCTCCAACTAGCAGGCAATTGTAAATGCTAACATCTAGAGACATTCTGTAATTTAGCTCATAAATATCACCACTATCAACAGATCGGGAAATAATTCCTGGACATGAATGACTGTCACTCTTGGTTGGCATGAAGTGGCTTTGACAAATTTGTAAATGGCTGTGTTTTCAACTTCCTTGTCCTGTATGGTGTTGTCAGCTTGCTGTATGAGCTCACCACATCCCACCTGGAGCTTGCCATAATGGAGGAAAAGCTGCAAAGAGTATAAATGCTGCAGACACTGTGACAGGGCTGCTCTTTTTATGCACAGAATGTATGTGCATCAAGCATAATGAGCCGTTTAATCACCATGAGCCAGGGAGCTGTTTGACAGAGCTCCATGAGAAAATTGTGCTTCATCCTAAGATGGCTTTGAGGTCTTTTCTTGTGATGTTCCCAACAGTTTTTAGTGTAACATGAAGGAACAGCCAAGCATGATTGACAGATCTTTACTCTAGAACAGGTGCTAAGTTTATTCATATGTGCTTTGTAGCTCTGGAGAAGACCTAAAAATGTGTTTTTTTTGTAGGGCGTATGGATGTATGGGGTGCTTTTAGAGAGCCACCCACTCCCTGTATAACTGAAGAGAAACTGTTTTTTTGGTATTCTGAGAAAATAGCTTGTTTCAAGGGTAACCAGACTTCTGAGCAGTCTAGTTCTTATGGTACTGTGTCTCTTATCTTTTGGGAGTTGTGTATTTTCTACTAAGTTTATTATCTGTAATCTATGCCTTGCCTATAGTATACATATGTTAAACTCTGTTATATCAATGTGGCTCATTAATTAACTTGGCAGGTCATTGAAATATTGGGTTAATTTCCAGCTAATTACGAGTCATAGAAAGCACAGAACACTATTGATCAGTTGGTGAAAAATCCCATAGTTTAAGCCATTCTTGATTATACAAATATGGAATAGCAAATCACAGCTGATCCAATTAATTGAATTAGTCGACACCTGGAACCAAGGTAACTCACAATAGGAACATGGACATTGGTTAAATGGAATCACATCAACATTCGGCTTAAAAATTGTAGGACGTTAAAACCTGAAAACAAAAGTTATATAAACTGATCTCAATGTTTGTTTTGTTGACCTAAAAAGATAGAAACATAATTTGTGTTGAGTTCAAATCAATTAAACTTAAAACAATATTCTACTTAATTTGAAAGAGTTTTTAAATGCCGTTGTTGCTGTGCAGGCTGACAGCGTATGGATGGACATGGATGATGGGGAGGACTTACCGACTGTGGATGAGCTGGAAGACTGGATTGAAGATGTACTGTCGGGACATATCGATCCTGATGATGATGATGATGATGATGACGATGACGACGACGACGACGATGACGACGACGACGATGACGATGACGACGACGATGATGACGATGACGATGATGATGATGATGATGACGATGATGACGATGATGATGACGATGATGACGACGATGATGATGACGACGACGACGACGATGATGACGACGATGATGATGATGACGACGATGATGACGACGACGATGATGATGACGATGATGATGACGACGATGATGATGACGATTATTAAATTACTAAGTTGTAATTTAAACTTTAAGTCTGACCAATGCCATTTCAAGTCAACATTATCATCGCATCGATGACTCTACTGAATCATCCACTTTTGTAATAAGTTCTTATCATGAAGTCATCTGTTCATGTAAATCCCTCTTCTTCCTCCTCCCTTAGACTTTCTTTGCAGCTCACCAGAATCACTATTCCATTTTGTTTTGTCCTTCTCCCTGACAGTCACTGAACCATTATGTAAAAAAAAATCTTCTATTTATTTCCACATGTAATTCTGTCTTGTACAATAAAACAAGATATTCTTTAAAAATCTTGTCACCTACTGCTTTTGATTTTGAAAATATTAAAGTTTTTATATTAACGGAATTATAAGGGTTTCATCGTTTTTATGCAAACTTCTGAGCCCAATTGTTTTTTGTTTCCTTTTCTGTTTGCATGTTTTATGCTTATTCAGATATGTTTTTGTTTACCCCAATACTGATCTGAATATTATCAAATTCAAAGGTGCTACAGTCTACCACGTTGGGTCTCAAACATAACCAGTATAATGCTGTACAATGAAAGTACTGTACATCATATGGATGTTTCTATGATGATGGATTACGAGAAAAACCAGATTCTATTTTTGTAAAGAGCAAATTTTGATTTACTGTAAAGTCTTAAATAAACATCAAATTGGACAGAAATTCACTTACTCTATAGTTCTTAAAGAGCTGAGAATGGTTGTCTGTGTGAATTATGTGTGAAGAACATATCCTAAGGACATTTCTTTTGGATTTTCACAAAGGCCACAGGAGAATATTCATAAAGCTACACTTTTTCCGATTAAAGTTTTACTTTCATTTCAAATTGTATTAAATTAGTGTTTCTCAATAATTTAATTCCATTCAAAAACAGAAAGTTTTACAAAGTGTGAAAAATAAATTGCTGCAAAATCCACCATAAGCATTCACAGCCTAAGTTTAATATTTGTTGATATTCCTTAGGCAGCAATAACAGTTTAAAGCCTATATAGATATTCAATTTTTTTTGTTCATATAGCGCCCAAATCCACTACTTCCTGCACTTCAGCCAGCTCTTTTGTTTTCTGTCTTCATTACTGGTTTCAGTTTAAATTATTTTAAGGAACCACAGTGCTGGCATTATTGGACCTCAGTGTTTAAATAACACCTGAAGCAAATAGACTTACATGCGGTGTTCCTCAAGGCTCCATGCTGGGTCACCTCCTATTCAACAGCTACATGCTCCCCTTAGCTCACATTATAGTAAACAACCAGATTAGATACCATAACAATGCAGACGAGACACAGCTTTATGTCACAATTTCACCAGGTGACTATGAACCCATCAAAGTGTTGGCTAGATGCTTAGAACAGATCAATATGTGGACGCACCATACTTTTTACAACTGAATAAAACAACTGAGGTGATAATCTTTAGATCAACAGAGGAGAGATCCAGAGTTAGCTCACAGCTTCAGCTACTACAGCTAGAAACAAGTAATTATGGCCAAAATCTTGGTGTCATTGTTAGGTTTATTCAATAATTATTATAAAATTAATGTATGTACATACGAAACATTTGAGAAATGAGATGCTTCACTCTGTCTTATGATTCAGTCAGAAGACCGCTCTGTCTTGTGATTCAGTCAGTGGAGCATCCTGTCTTATGACCTGATCAATTATCCTTTCAGAACAATACTCTGTTTTGTAACCATGTGTTATGTTCTGTTAATAAAAACGCTCTGCAGAGGAGGTCAGAGGGAGAGAGTGTTGGAAAGGTGGGTTGCAGCTCTTTCCCCTTCTGCAGAAGCTGTTGAGAATCCCTTTCCCAACCAGGAAACACTCAGCCAGGCAGACAAGCTCCGATGACCAGACAAGCTCCGAATCAGCTCCCATGTCAGAGGATGAAGAGAGCACATCCAGACAGTCACAGTCAGAGAAACAGGACTACACTGAAAAAAACAGGCCAAACAGGAACAGACGGGGTGAAGCTACTATGAGAAAAATCAGAGAGAGCATAACGGTAAAGATTGAAATAACAGATTCTGCAGTGTGGGAGAATAGAGGTAGAATGAAGCAGAATGGTGAAAAAAGGGGTCCCTATATCATCCAGAAGTCTAAGCCTTTAGCAACATAATGATAGAGATAGCTCAGGATAACCTGAGCCACTCGACTATACTGTAAGTTTTATCAAAAAGGAAAGTTTAAAGCCTAGCCTTCCCTTAAAAGTAGACAGGGTGTCTGCCTCACGGACTAAAACTGGTAGTTGGTTCCACAGGAGAGGAGTCTAATAATTAACCGTTTATCATCCGAAGAACATTTCCAGGATTAAAGGACTAATGTCTAACCATGAAAAACTCATTAATGCATTCATCTTTAGTAGAATTTATTACTGCAACAGTGTCTTCATAGGTTTGCCTAAAAAGTCCATCAAACAGCTGCAGCTGATCCAAAACTCTGCTGCCAGTTTTCTCACTGGAACTAAGAAAGTGGAGCACATCAGTCCGGTACTGAAGTCCTAACGTTGGCTCCCTGTACCTCAAAGAATAGAACTTAAAAGTCTACAAATTTAGTCTATAAATCACTGAATGGATCAACATCTGAATATGTGACAGATTTGTTGTCAGTGTATCAACCTCCCAGACCACTCAGGTCTTCTAGGTCAAGCCTAGAACCAACCATGGAGGCTGAATCCCAAACTGGCCCATAAACACTCCCGTGGAGGGGGTATGGAGAGGGGACCATACAGCCCTTAAACGGCGAGTCTGCATCAGTGCAGCAGGTGTAACAGCGGTCTGTATTTGTGTCGCAATGACAGAAAATCACAAGTTAGAAAACAACAAATTTGTTGAATCACTAAAATGCCTCATTCTGAGTATCACATCCCCTGTAATTGATTGCCTAAATATTGAATGATGAAGGGAAGGTTGAACAAACCAAATGGCTGGTGAGGCTCCAAAATGACCACGAGGGGAAGTTCACAAAGAGGCGAAATGCCGCCAAACAACCTTCGGATTAGGAACCTTTATTCCAATTTTGTTCCCATGCCTGTGTGTCGAATCCAAATCTGTGTGTAAAAACGAACAACTTTAAATGGCCATGTGAGCTGAATGCTATTGCTTAAGCAAACATTTCGCCATTCCCCTTTTGAATGTTTTATTTAGGGCTTTGATCCAGGAGATGGGGCTTGAGGGGGAGGTAACCCCAAAACAAGCCTCTAAAAAGTGGGAGAACCTGATAAAGAAATATAAAGTGGTCAAAATCATTGTTCTGAAACAGATTTTCCTGGGTAACAGTTAATATAACTGTATTCATCCTATGGAACTGAATAAGGCGCCCACGGGGTCTGGCATCGATAGGGGAGAGGAGACGGAAAGCACATGGCTCTACTTTGCAGATATGCATGAGGCACTGGGCTCACATCCATCAATCTCACCACCGGTCTTGGTTGGATCCCTTCCTGAATCCACCATACACATACCTGATTCAGTTAAAGATGACCCCGCACAATCTGCCCTGCACAACCCCTGTTCTTTCACTGCCACCAGTCCCCGCTGTCCAGTGCCATGCACCTCCTAAACTGCTTGCTGCAGCCTCGAAAGCTGAAAGCCGTGACTGTCCTCCAGCAGGAGTTCAAGAAGGAGGACAGGCATCATTCTGAGCTTACTGCTCAGAAACAACGTTTTTTACAGGCATCCGAAAAAAATTATGGACACAAGTTATTTTATTTATTTTTATTTTTTTTTCCTCCTCAGAACTTTTAGTTGACTATTGGAGAGATTTTAAGTTGTAGACCAACAAATTTAAGTTATTTGAAATAAAATATTTCACAAGACAAATTTTTCCATGTTTATTTAGGGAACAAAACACAAGGAAGGGTGGAACATGCATAAAAAAATGAAGGGAAAAGGGGATGGAATGGTTTGGGGAATGGAGAGAGCAGCGTCCCCTGAGGTGCTCTTGTGCTGCTGACTATTTGATTAGACAGTTGACCCCTCAGTCTAAAGGGCAATAAAAGTCAATTTATATTTCTGACGCATAGCCTCTGCAACAGTCAAATCTGTCTTTGTGCATGACCACGCCCCCTGTGCAGAGGTTCTGCAACCATCATAGTGCACCTAAAAAAAATCCTACACGTCGGACGGCCACAAACCCGCGCAGACCTCGATCTGAAGTGTGCAGACAGAAAGCACCTGTGATTGGTCCTTGGTAAGCTGTGTGTGGTCGTCCTTCTCGTTTCGGTGCCAGGGCATGCCATTTTTAAAAACCGTGGAGTAATAACAACAATGGATAACCACGACGATAGGTTGATCAAAGAGGTTTGGAAGTACAACCACTTGTACGATGCCTCAGACAGTGTTGGGAAAGTTCTCTTTCTACGTGAACTAGTTCAAAGTTCAGTTCACACATTTTAAAATGAACTAGTTCAGTTCATAGTTCATAATTCAAAATTTTGAACTAAGTTCACAGTTCCAAAATATAGTTCTTTTTTTTTCATATATTGCTCAATTACACCATAGCCTACTGTAGAACCACAGACAGCAATTATTTTATCAGTTGTAACTGAAACTGTGTGTCAGATTTCATCTTCATTTCCAGTTTTGAATCCTTATCCAACCAGGGTTTACATTACATACCACCTGGTCATAAAACTGTTTTAAGTGATCATACTGCTGCTTTGTCGTCTCCACGGTCGCCTCCATGCTGCTGTGGCTTCCACGCTGCATTTTGTTTTGATGACACACGCGGCTGTAGGCTACGACACTGGTAGCTGGTGTTGCCAGATTGGGTGTTTTTCCCGCTACATATTAAGGCTTGTTTACGGTGTGATTTAGCCGGGGTTTCGCCTGGAGGGCTCTATAGAAATCTGGCAACCTATTGAACGAAGTTGAACTGAGAGAGCGTGCCGTTCACACACACCAGAATGAACAAGTTCACAATAACGTTCATCAGGCAGTAATACAGTACGTTCAGTTCACGTTCGCCCAAAATATGAACGAGTTCATGAACTTTCGTTCAATGAACGCGATCAGGCACAACACTGGCCTCAGATACGTTGCTTTGGAAAATAAACACTCCCGCCGAAGAAATTCTTGCGAGTTCTCAAATAGGCTCCCCCTAGCGCTTTGGCAGGAAACTACTTTGCGCCCCCAGAAATTCCAGACCGACGTTGCAGAAACATCCCAGCAAAACTGGTTCACGATCAGACGCAAGCAACATTTGATGTGTGCAGTTGCAGAAGTATAAAGAGTGAATTATGCTGTTACACCTGCCATGCAGACTCGCTATTTAAGGGCTGTATGGTCCCCTCTCCCTACCCTTCCCTTTGGGATGGCACTTAATTTGGCGGACCCTCCAAGGGAGTGTTTAGGGGCCAGTTTGGGATTCAGCCTCGAAGGTTGGTTATAGGCTTGACCTAGAAGACCTGAGTGGTCTGGGAGGTTGATACACTTACAACAAATCTGTCACGTATTTAGATGTTGATCCATTCAGTAATTTATAGATCAAATTTTTAGACTTTTAAAGTCTATTCTCTGAGCTACAGGGAGCCAAAGTAAGCACTTTAGAACCGGGCTGAGGTGCTCTCGTTTCTTATTTCTAGTGAGAATACTGGCAGCAGAGGTTTTGATCAACTGCAGCTGTCTGATGGACATTTTATGCAACCCTATGAAGACACTGTTGCAGTAATAAATTCTATTAAGGATAAATGCATGAATGAGTTTCTCTAGATTAGACGTTAGTCCTTTAATCCTAGAAATTCCGGTGATAAACGGCTAATTATCAGGGTCCTCTCCAACTACCAGTTTTAGTCTGCGCAAGAACTTCGGCAGATGGTGTGGATACAAGTGGTTGTACTTCCAAACCTCCTCCACTTCCACTTGAGGTCTGCGCAGGTTTGCGACTGTCCAGCGTGTAGTCAGAATTTTATTGTATGGGGCGTGGTCACGCACAGAGACAGATTTGACGGTTGCAGAGGCTATGCGTCAGAAGCATAAATTGGCAATAACTCGAGTCACCTACTGTGTAGTCTTCCCTCAGCTCTCTACAGTGCAGGGAAAACATGTATGGTACATTACAGAACATTACAACTTTTTTTCTTTTTTTATGCTTTTGTGTACTATATACACTCTTTTTATTTTGTATCTTTATCATTAATGTCATCTGGCTTTAACCTCTGTACTCTATATAAGTTACTCCAACCAGAATTTCCCTGAAGGAGTAATCACAAGGGATAAATAAACTTGAGTCTAAGTCTAAGTCGCAAGCAAATAAAATGTCTTAAGATCTGTTATGAATTGACGCTATAGGCATTAAATTAAATAAACACTGATAGCAGGGTTCTTCTTCTTCTTTGTGAGATTGGCACTAACAAATTGCAAACTACTTATAGGTGCATACCGCCACCCACTGTACATGAGTGTGTAGTTCTATAGTTCCACCGATTATACTCTATTTTTTTCTTTTGTGTTATGTAAAAATAATGCTTTAATAATAACCAAATGTTCCTCCGTATCTCCATCTGTCCCTAAAATTCCTTTAATACTCCATTCTCTCTCTTTCAGTTGCATATTTAATGCAATCCATCAAAACATGATCCACATTTTCTTTTTTTTCACAACCCTCACATAAATCATTATTTATCCTCCCTAGTAGAAACAAAAACTCATTCAAGTAGGTATGTCCAGTTCTTAATCTAGTATAAATGATCTCTTCCCTTCTGCTTCTTTCTCCATAATTTTGAACAATACAGTACAGATTTTTTAACCCTATATAATCTTCTTCCTTTCTCATCTTCATCCCATATTTTTGCCATAATTCTGTTTTTTTATTTTTAATTATTGATTTGCTCTGCCCTTTCCCAAATGGAATCTGATCTATATTCTGATCTGTATTCTAACCTTTTCTCAGAATTCTGAGAAAAAAGTCAGTAACAAATTGGAGGAAAATGATGGAATCTGCCTTTATGTGCCTGAGGGGTCCCCGGTGATGCTATTTCATTAATGGAAGAGCAGAAGGTGATTAAAACAAGAGAGCTAGTCTAACTCTAAAACAGACATGATTACAGCTTGATGCAAACATGTTTGTTAGCTGTCAGAATTCAGACATTTAAGTCAGAATTCTGAGGAGAAAAGTCAGAATTTTTAGAAGAAAGTCAGAATTTTGATATTAAAGCCGGAATTCTGAGATTAAAGTCAGAATTCTGAGAAATAAAAAGTCAGAATTCTAAGATTAAAGTCAGAATTTTGAGAAAAAAGTCAAAATTCTGAGATTAAAGTCAGAATTTTGAAAAAAAAGTCAGAATTCTGAGATTAAAGTCAGAATTTTGAGAAAAAAAAGTCAGCATTCTGAGATTAAAGTCAGAATTTTGAAAAAAAAAGTCAGAATTCTGAGATTAAACTCAGAATTTTGAAAAAAAAAAAGTCAGCATTCTGAGATTAAAGTCAGAATGCTGACTTTTTTTCTGAAATTATGATGAAATAAAATGTAATAATCAGTTAACATTTTTAATTTTTTTCAATTTTTTGATAGCATGGTTGGTGTTAATCCTTGGCTCTTCTTGGTATTATTCCTGCAATGATGCGCATGCGCTATGGTGAAGACACGCCCCTTTCCTTTGGAGGCCATGTGGTCACGCTGTGGGTTGGTAAATAAATGCTAAATGCTGTCTTCCGCCTCTGACGGATTATTTGAATGAATTGTAAATTTCTTGGAGACACCAGTGCAAAAATGTCCGCAGACGTCGTGAGCCTCCAGCTGCAGGTGGAGGCGGTGCTGGGGACTCTGGTCAAAGCGGCGTCGCTGGAGTTGATCAAACTGTTTGAGAGCAGATACCGAGCCTCGGCTGTGGATCCGGGCCGCAGGGAGAGAGCAGAGCTAAATGAAAGCTGGGATCCTCTGCTCAAGGTGTGGAATGGAGAGAGTAAGCGAAGCATCGGCGTGCAGGTGGAGGAAGATATCCGGCCTCCAGTGGAGCTAGGTGGGTTTGCATGGTTTATTTTTTTACTTCTCTGTGCTTTGATGGGACCGTGCACAGGCGGGGCTCAGCTGCACGATCAGATCCGAACCATATCTTAGAGCCATCGAAGATTAAAACTCTCGATCAATGCATCAAACATTCCTGCAAAACTCGTTGTTTCATCAGCTTTGAAACGAGTAATCCTTGTTGTTTGGGAATGAACGTTCAATCCTGACCCCTCCCCCTCTCTGCGCCTCAGATTCAGATCTTCTGCTTGATCCGGGTTGTTTAAAGGAGCCAGATCCCTCCCAGGTCCTACTGGCTGAAGATACCGACCAGCAGTGGGCGCCACTAAAAGATCAGGTCAGTGAAAGGTTACAACCTGGAAATAACCTAGAAGTGTTGCTTTAAAACTTTGTTTTGCATTCTTCGTAAACTGCAAGGGTTGGTTTATATTCCCCCTTTCATGGAAATTCTCATGAAGTTGTGCTTTTTTCTTTGTTTTTATCAGATTCCTACAGATCATGTGGATAAACTGGAGCTGAACATGCTTTTGACAGATGATCCGCTAAATGGTGATCCTCCAGAGGACACTGTTCCACCTGGTGAGCGTTCACACTGAACGAGATCAGCAAGAAAATCAGGGTCTTATTTAACAAGACAAATAAAAACGTCATCTTACACCACATCATTAGTCAATTAGCTGAAAGACTGCTTCTTATGTTTTTTATTGGCGGATGGCAACCAACTTAAAGGGGAACTTTGTTTTTGTTTTTTACATTTGGCCCTTGATTCTACGTTATTACATCATGTTCTACTCACACATATAAGTTTTGTGTCATTTGGAGCCGTTCTGAAGATATTCCATTAGGTCATATCTGGGGAAGAAAAAAAATTGATTTGAGCTCAAATCGCGTTTCTAACATTTAAAGATTCAGAATCAATACTCATTTTCATTAAAAACGATTTTTTTTTTTTGTGGGTGCAGATGTGCCTTAGCAGGCACCGTAGTGTTTGGCAAAATCAATGACCAGCGTGAGCTATGCACAGGCATGCAAGTGTTAGCCTAGCAGGCTACAGAGTGGTGTGTAGTGTTGTGTTTACCTTCAACCCGGCCCAGGTAAGAAAGGGCTTGACATGACTCATGCGATTTGCAGAGATTGCATTAAGTATTTCGGGAGTACTTCAAAACCCTGTTCTCATCTCGAAAGACATCACACAGATTTGTTGGTGGAGTTTACCTTTAGGTGTTTACATTATTGCAATAGGTAAATAAAACATTTACAATTATAAAGTCTTTAGAAATGTACTCTTCTTTCATGCCAGCAGACTGGAGAAGAACCTGAGAATCGTTTTGAATCGTAAATTAATCGTTTCTGAATCGAATCATTTGGATTTAAAAGAGTCGGAAAGAAATCTAATTGTGACCCCAAGAATCGATTCTAAATTGAATTGTGAGAATCCCAAAGATTCACAGTCCTAGTTATATGCAAGTAACGTCTGCCTATGGGCAACGAGTTGAAGGCACAAACTAAACTGTTCATAATTTATTCTTCATGGTACGGCAGCATTCATAACATGTAGGCGAATCACTGTCCCCCAGACATCCGCGGTTATTTATATTTTTTTTAAAACAAAGCGGAGTGTGTATGACATCATCCGCGCAGGACTGGAGGTGTAACAGGCAGCCCGGGCCGCAGGTGGCTACACTCTACCCCTTCTATTCATTCGGCTAGCTAATCTGAATCGGTCAACGTCATGCACATATCAACATTCCTAGTAGAAACGGCACAGCTTGGTTAGTTTATTGCAACCAATCCCTTAAGCTTTGGACATGCAATAAAGCCTTCCTCAAACCATCCATTCATCCATTTTCTGACACGCTTTATCTCGAGTGGGGTCGCGAGGGGTGCTGGTGGCTATCTCCAGCTGTCTATGCGCAAGAGGCGGGGCACAGCCTGGATTAGGGCTGGGTATTGTTCAAAAATTTTCGGTTCCTGTACCAATACCGATACCTTCACTTCGATAACGGTTCCTGAACGATACTTTTTTCGATACCAGTTTTATAAAATCAATTCGAAGTAAAAGAAAATTACACAACATAAAAAAGTACAAATCTTGAGTTTTATTTTAAGCTCTGATTTTTCCATTTACACTTTTCCTCTTACATAAAAAAAAAATTCAGTGTCTAATATTCATAGTTACATTGTGAGGACCTTTTTACTTAGCAGTTTTCCTTTAGAAAAATTACCATGTCTGACAAACAAGCCCGTTGAATGGGATCCTACTGACAGCGCACCGCTGGTATGTGGGGGTCTGAGCGGCTCCGACAGAAATATTGGAAGGCAGGATGAACTGACTGCACTGATTAAGTTTTCAGGTTGATTTTCCCACTTAAAAACATATTAAAACTACTTTATTCCCATTGATCACAGCAAATATAGCTGCAAGGCAGAGAAAGGATAGAGTAGCTCCACCCAACGCACGTCAGAGCCACTTTTTGACTGCGCAACCAGAGCAGCAAACTGCTTCAGCCGCGCGTCAGAACTAAACTGGTACAAGCAGCAAAAAGGAAGCAGCAGACGTGATTTTGCTGCTCTTGTTGCGTCCGGTGTGAAAGCAGCATGATTCACTCTTCTCTGGCTTTGCACTGCCCATGGGCTGCTGAGAGGAGGATGGTTGCGCCGGCTGCGGTCCGCTCTTCTTGCAGTCAAACACCGAGCAACTTTCTGCTCTTAAATTGTTTCCGTGCACGATGTATTGCATTGCGCACTATTAGCATCAGTCTTAATAAAGTGAAGCCGCACTTTTGACCTGGGGGGCATTTTAAAGGGGTTCCATGACGCTCGCAACCAGTTCACAACAGATACACATGAACTCTGGCTGTATGCGTGACCACCTGTGTATTTTTCCTGGATGACGCAATCACGTTAAGCGTTACAGCCAATCACCGAAAGACGAGGCATGTTTCGATACTCTGTAGAACTGAAGCATTTCGGTCGGTACCATAAAAGAACCGAAGTTCGGTACCCAGCCCTAGCCTGGATAAGTCGCCAGTCCATCGCAGGGCAACACAGAGACAAACGACCATTCACACACACACACTCACACCAAGGGAGAATTTAGAGAAGCCAAATTTACCTAACACTCATGTTTTTGGACTGTGGGAGGAAGCCGGGGTACCCTGAGAGAACCCTCACATGCTCAGCGAGAACATGCAAACTCTATGCAGAAAGAGCCCGGGTCGGGAATCGAACCCAGAACCTTCTTGCTGCAAGGCAGTAGTGCTACTCACTGTTCCACCACAGCTTCTTAAAATGCAGTTGCTGTGTTAACTTAGTTTTTGTGAAAAATTAAGCTTAAAAGTCTTAATTTTCCCTAAATTTAACAAATATTATATATAATACAAAAAATATATAATTTTACTTTGGCACATTGAGGTTTTTGCTTATGATGTGACATAAAGTAACAATAAAAAAGTGTGCAAGAATATTAAGGCCTGTGCAAAAGTACTGACTAAGTGAAATGGTAAATACTGGCATTATAACAAGTGAAAATCTGTGTGTTAGTCTCTTCAGGGACAAGTTCTGGAACCTCAGAGTGTAAACGGAAGCCACTCGTGATTCAACCAGATAAAAGGTCCAAGACTTTAGGGGAGCAGGTGAAGTTCGTTTGTCCCCTAATCCTTAAAGTCGAAGGTTCAGAGGAGCCCGTTCAAGCTGAACCTCAGCAGGCCTCCGTCAGCACAGCCAGGGGTACCGCTTACAGTCCGTCCCCCTCCGACGGAGCTGTGACCCCAGCGCAGGTCGGCGTGTGGGAGCGGATCCACTCACCGAAAGACACTAAGAACCATCTGCAGATGAAGCTGAAGTTCACCTATTCGGATCAGAAGTTGCTGCTTCCTTGTGCTGTTCAGCTGGTCGACTTGCTCAAAATTCCAGACGTGAAGGATGACAATGCAGCGAAAGCTCTCAACGCTAACGACAAACCATGCCCGAGTAAACCCAAAGACCTGCGCCGGCATCAGGGTCCCCACACGGGCCATCGTCTCTGCTGCTTCACGCGGTGCGAAAAAGACCTGTGGCGCCTCCAGAACGTGGTCACACACTCCCGCGACGGATACGTCTGCGACATCTGCGGGAAAGCGTTCAAGCGGAGGAAGATCCTTCGCCGACACGAGCGCTTCCACACCGGGGAGAGGCCATACCCCTGCTCCAAGTGCACCAAGAAATTTGCCCTGAGAAAAAGCCTCCGCCGCCACCTGAGGTTCCACACGGGGGAAAGGCCGCACACCTGCACCCAATGCGGCAAAAGCTTCCGGCTGCGGGACAACCTGAAGGCACACCTGAGGTTTCACAGCGGAGAGAAGCCCTACGGCTGCAACGAGTGTGGGAAGACGTTCCGGATCATGAGGAATCTGGACAAGCACAAACTAAGCCTCTGTGAGTTCTTAGTTCCCTCTTTCAGAGCAATTGCCGGCTTGTAGCTATGGAGGCGATGGCAAAGACGCACCTTTGTCTACCTCAGACTGAAAACACTGGAGCTCAGCTCTCTAAAGCAGAACCGTTTAAGATATAACTTATTCACAGCTCCTGATACTTTGGTTCTACTGTAATGACACCAACCAGGGCTCTGTGTTAAAGGGACATGTTTTCTCTGAGTCCTGCTGAATGTTATTAACTGTGTTTCCTTTTTGGATTTATCTGGTCAGTAAGAACCAGCTCTGAGGGAGGAGGAAAGAAAAGTTCTGCAGAAATCATCTGGCATGATGATTGAGTCAGTTCAACTCAGATTTCACAGACATGTATGATGTGGCGTTCTAAAACAAACTAGTTCCAAAAAGCTTTGTGTAACCTTTGACCTTTTGGCAAAACAAGCCAGGACATCGTGCTGATGTTTCTGTGTTTTCTGAAAGGACTCTGAGCCAGGTTTGGGTTGGTTTAGTTCCTTGATGTTGGCATTATCTGCGGTTTCTGAATGATACCAGGCAGCTAAACTAAGGTTCTGCTTGTGGTGATCCAGAGGTTCTCTTCTCTGATGTTTGTAATGCCTCAAATGGCTCATCCGTTTTTCTGAATGTAAATCTCATTTCCTTTCGAACTTTCCTGAACTTTGCTCTGTCACGCGTTTTCTACACGGTTGCCAGGCCTTTTCCCTCCCTCACTTTCCACTTTGGTTTTCTGTCACAACACTTTGAGGTTAGCTTTAGTTTAATTTCCTTGAAAAAAATTTTCACCATTTTGTTTGTTCTACCAAATGTAAGCTCCGTTTGAGAGCAACTGCTATATTGGTTAAGGGATAAATTACCTTTAGAGGGGTTTTAGTTTATTCATTTTCTTTCCTTAATGTTGTTCTAAACATTTGTCACATTTTGTTTGGTGCAGGTTGTTAGGCACTCCATAGACCTATTTGCGTCTGTGGTTTTAGTTCCCGTTTTAACTTCCTTTTTTTTGGCCATGTGCACAAAAATCAGACTAAGAAATATTCTAAGAGGGTTGTATTACTTCTTCAGATAACTTTTCTGATTTCATTTTTTTTTTATTTGCATTAATCTCTCAGACTCTAATCTGATTTGCAGCTTCTTTTGTAGCCAATCTTTAACGCTAAGAAATAGAACAGGTTTACATGTTGTCGCCTATAGGGTCTATATGTAATATATCTACAAGCAAGAAGTCACTTGGCCACATGGTAATGATCTTTCATATTTTTTGAGTTGGGCTACTGAGGTTAAATACAAAGCTCAAGGGAAAAAGACACATAGTCCGATCAATTATAGAAAATGGAAGGAGGACGGGCAGAAATTGCAATGTGTTGGATTGATTATATACTTACAAACTACTCTGGTAAGCACAGTTTTTCACATTTTCAATGCAGTATTGGCTGTGTAAACTAGGAAACAGCAAATCCTAAATGTCTCTTGCTCACATAGGTGGCAGATGAGACCAATGACTTCTGTCCATAATAGAAACTAGTTTCGGACTGGTTGCAAAAACATCCGCTTGCATCTATTTAAAAGGAGTAAGCAGTGGCAGTAGTCATCTGTTGCTCTGTTCACTCATCCAGAGATATAAAACAAAAGAAATGTGTTGCACACTTACTTAAAGCTCCTTACTCTAAAAGACAAAAAAATAAAACCATAACACCATACCAGGCCTGGGTCCTGGTTGCAAGGACCAAACACTTTTTTCTTCTTCTTTTTTTTAGGTTGCATAACTTTATAAGTGTTTAAAAATATACTAGTGATGGGTTGTTTTTTTTAGCTGCTTTTTTTACCTTGCATTTATCTTGTTTTTTATTATTCATTTGAAGATTACTTTACATATATATAGATAAAAGTAAATATGTGTCATTCCTTAAGAAAATATTTTTTAGTCAATTTCAGAGATCCTGACCAGAACATCAAGTTTCTATAAGTTTGTCCATTCGGGCTTTGGTTGCTGAAGGATTCAGTCAGACATGCAGGTTGAAGAGAAGAGGGTAGATTTGGGATTCAATTGCAATATAACACAAATGCAGATGAGTGCTCAGAAATTCTCATTCTACTTTTTTTGTCATTGTTAATAAATGGATGAAAGGAATTGGATTTAAATCTTGTTGTGTTTCAAGAAACATTCTAATTTGCTTTTAATAAAAAATGTATACCAACGGTATATGCTCATACTGAGAGACACTGTTGGCCTCTGCTTTTTTTTTTTAGTTTATCTTCAAATTCTGTAAAATCTCAATGACTCATTATGATGAGAAAAAGCTTTAATTACTAAGTTTGTTACACAAAAGCAAGAGATTTTACTTCTGTTGCTCTCGATGAGCTGCCAGGCTGATTTTCTAACACTTTTTTTCCAAATGCACATTTAGGTGTGAAACAACAGAAAAACAATAACTCTGATACTATATTAGTTTTTTTCAAAGACTGTTTAATTCTTTTTTTACTTTTCAAGATGTATACTTTATATCAACAAATATCTGTGTTTGTTTTTTTAATGCTGTTTCTAAATAAATTGTCTACTGTCAGATAGTTGTGAGACTTGTTTTTTTTTTACTTTGAACTAGGGCTCCAACTAACGGTTATTTTGAAAATCGATCGATCTTTCGATTATTTTTTCGGCAAATGTTCCTTAAGGATGACTTCATGAAATTAAACCAATTGAAACTAAAACTTTTCCCTTTGCTGGATAGTACATATTGACAGAGGAAAAATAACTTTTATCTTAAATTCTACAATGTTGGTATAATTACTCCTCTAATGGGTTGCTGTCAGTTAAATGTTTTAGAGTCTCTATACTCCGTTTAATGATTGATTACCAATTACTTCAATAATTGATTAATCATGAATAATCCCATTGTTTAGCCCTATTTTAACCACAACAGTTAGAGGATTTGTGTGTGACTTTAAATTACTGTAATGTACACTGAAAAAAATTATGCAACTGTTTTTGGCATTTACCTAATCTAGTTACTTTAACACAATGGTTTCATGTTAGCACATAGGACATAAAATAATTGTGTTAAAGTAACTAAATATGATAAATTAAATGCCAAAAACGGTTGCATTATTTATTTTTTTCAGAGTAAGAAGTTTTGTTTTTAACCAACTTAGGAATTATAAATGTCCTAGGTATGAACAGAAACACATATTTATGGATTCTGTTGGTGTTTATCCACTTGTCTGAGCATAGAGGTCTTAACCTGAAATCATCTGAGGAGATATGTTGTCACTTTGGACATTTTAGGATAACTGGTGTGTTAAAATTAACAGTTTTAAAGTTCACATACTTTACTTGGGCATAAATAAATGAAGGGTAGAATGTCTGGAAGTATATTTAGAGCCCTTATTGCACTGCTGTTTGGACAAAACTCAATCATTTGTGGTTTTAAATCTCACTAAACATCTACTGATAAATTACTTAAACAAACTTCATTGTCATTTTATGTAAACAGAGTGTAAACATAATCGAAATTCCGTTTCGTACAGCTCTCATGACATTTCCGTTTCTTAAAGTGCACCAGTGATCAATGTAAACAGTGTGGGAGAAAAAAACATGGTGCAAAAGAAAAAACGCATTGATATGGTCAGTGTGATGCCGAGTCTGTGACATGATTTAGAGTTTTTGCAACGTTTAGCTGTCTAATGGCGGTGGGGAAGAAGCTGTTTTGGAATCTGCTGGACCTGCATCAAATGCTTTGAAGCCTCTTCCCAGAGGGCAGCAGGGAGGACAGTCCATGGTGGGGGGGTGAGGGGTCACTGATGATGGTACGGGCTCCAGACACGCAGCGCTGGGAGGAAATGTCTTCTATTGAGGGAAGAGCAGCCCCCCGATGATCTTCTCAGCGGTTCTCGCTACTCTACTCACTCTTTTCCAGCCTGAGATGCTATAGCCTCCACACCACACAGTAGAAGGTTGTGAGGATGGATGGGGGCAGATGGGCTCTCCTCCCTTTTTTTTTTTTTTTTTTTTTTTTTTTTTTTTTACAAATGAGGTGGTTATGAAAGAAGATTTGTTTCTTTATTATTCAATTATTTAAAAGGTTGGTTCAATCAAAAACATATTTACAATTATAAACTTTCACTTCAATGAAAAAAAACTTCAATCAAAGAAAAAAGGATTTGAATGCAAAAATATCGTTGTGACTTAAATAAATATATTTGAATACTTATTCTACGGTATTTGATTAAAAATGTTTTCTTTAATAGAAGTCAAGTGTGTTTGTTAAAAGCAAGTTTTTTAATTGAGGTAACATTGTTTTTGATTGGACCATATAATGAGTAGTTTAAACATTTGTGTCTTTATCATACAATTAAAAAAAAGCTGCTTCAAACAGACGACAAAATCAATAAAAAAAAGTCACTTCAATGAAGGGATAAACTTTTCAATCATAGAAAATAATTTTTTGAATGAAAATAAAACATAAAACATTTGAGACTTAAAAAAATGCATTTGAACGCCTTTGTATCCCAACTCAAAAGTGAATATTAGTAGCAGTGCTTCAAATGAAACATTTGTGTTTAGCCAACATATTCAATTCCAGATTATACACAGAACCTGGACTTTCTCCTCAGTTGAGTGCATCAAGTCTTGTTAAAAACGAATAAACGTTTACATTGAGGGACTTGAGCAATGTGTTTTTGTTTAAAGTGCATTTCACAAGTTTCCTTTGTTAAGATTATGTTTTTTTATTAAAATAATCCCTATATAAATGTAATTATTTCAGGTTGGTTAATTACAATTTTATTAATTCCTAATTATTTCCACGCATAATGATAAACACAAGGGACATACATTTAATTGAAAATCTGGTGTTTTATTGATTCGCCAAACGCGGTTTTACGCGTTAAAATAGAGGATTTGAAGCGACAATGTGCCACTCACAAGATGGCGAACGCGGCCACGCATCGCCTGAGGCCCGGTTAGCTTTTATAACTAACGACGTTGTTTTAGGATATCTATCAAACGCAACTGAATATAAATGCCAATAATTATTAGTTAGTAATTAGTAAATAATGTTTTTGTATATTTAATTCTGGCTATCCTCTGTTTGCACGTGAACAAAAACAGAAAGGCGGGTTGAGAAAGCTGCATACTTGTCGGTCCCTTGGCCCCGCCCAACCAGGAAGTCGTGCTAAAGTAATGCTTCCACTTTCACTCTTAAAACTGAAAACACGGATTTTGGCACTATTAATGATGGAGGATGCAGAACAGAACCGACTGGAGGAGCTGTTAATGTGCCCAGTGTGTCAGGACATTTTTAAAGACCCCCGTCAGCTGCCATGTGGTCACAGTTTGTGTGTTGACTGTGTGAAAAAGCTGCAGGAACACTCCACAGATGCACCTTTCCGCTGTCCAGACTGCAGGGCTGATTTTGGACAGGGGCTGGAGTTACAGAAGAACTACGCCCTGGTCAGCATCACAGAGGACTTCAAACTGAGCAAGAGAAGGAAGGTATACCTGCTTTAGTACAGATGCACCAATTAGTCTAGTTTTTATTTTTTGGCTGATACTGATTTTTGGCATTCTTTGAAGTCTGACGTGCAGATTCCACCTTTCAACCATTGTAGTTTGTCCTTTTATATAAATGTATTGTTTAAGAAAAAAAATCCCTGAACAAGTATCGGTGTTTCTGTAAATATTAGTGTTGCACCAATACCGATACTGCACTAAAATGGTGGTATCGGTATAATTTTGAGAGTCAAAAGTTTATTCAACTATTGTCACCCATTCCAGGTAGGTAATAAAAAGTTCTACTGGATTTCCCCTTGTATTAGTCTTTTTACTGCTTCACAAAGGTAGACAGCAGCTTGACAAAGACATTATTTTACATCCAAGTAGTGTGCAGTTCTTCATATATACACACACAAATCAATTTCAGACAAATGGTATCGGTATTGTATCGGCCGATACTGCACAGGCAGATATTAGGGCCAAAAAATGGCATCGGTGCAACAGTAGTAAATATGACTATGTCTTCTTGATATTAGTTGATGCTTCAACCATACTTTTTGGTTAAGTGAGACTGCAAGACTGAGGCAGAACATTTTATTGTCACACTAGGACTGCAGTCCTGACAGTAACCCTCTTAGCTAAACAGTATTTAATAACATAAAAACCACTATTGGTTTCATAATTCCTCATGTACTTGCTCTTTGCTGGTGAGATATAAAAAAATAAATAGGGAGATTTTTTCACTGGACCTGCAGTTCTTTACCTATCAGCTGATTATAGGATCATCGGTATGCTCTGGGTAATTGATCGCTACATCTCTGCTTTTTACCTTGCAGGAAAAGCAGGCTGAACGTGTGTACTGTGACTGTTGTCCAAAGAGCAGAACTCCAGCATTTAAATCCTGCCTCAAGTGTGAGGTATCACTGTGCAGAGAGCACGTGAAGGACCACTTAGAGCTGCAGGCGTTTACAGGACACCCCCTGGTGGAACCTCTGAGTGACCTGCTGGAGAGAAAATGCCCGGATCATCAGGACAAGGTGCTCAGGTACTACTGCACCTCGTCCCGCCGCTATATCTGTAACATGTGTGCCCTGGAGAGCAAGCAGCTCAGCGCAGCCTCAGATGCCTCCACTGTCGTGCGACGACAGCTGACGGTGAGCTCAGCATCACTCCTGATGGTGTGTCATGGGAGTGATTTGTAAAAGTAATCAATCTATGTGTATTCAACAGGAGTACATGGACCAGCACTTTAAATTGCTTCAGGAGCAAATTGAAGAATCTACAAATACTCTTAACAGTCAGCTTGCAGTAAGTCCTCTTTCTTAAAACTCTCTTGGGTTATTTTAAGGCTTATGATGTCTTGCAAAAGTATGGAGCTTTTCATTATACAGAGCAAAAGAGAGGGGAATTAAAATCTCCATGGCAGTGGTTTCTCTAAAGCAGAGACAGTGATAGAAATCAATAAAGTGAACTCCTAGGGGAAAACTTGCTAGAATCTGTAAAGGATGCTAGACACGGGCGGAAATCTAAACATAAAGCAGGAGCTGTTATAGACTGATTTAGGTTAGAGTCATGGTTTGGAATGGCTTAGTCTAGCGGTTCACAAAGTGAGGAAAACGCCCCCTGTGGGATAGTTGCAGAGGGGTCACAGTAGATGTGACCCGTATAAATGATCAATTTTGAAAGGTAATTTAAAAAAGGGCCCTCATAGCAATGATAAATGCTGTTACACTGTAAAACAAACAGTTAATATCAAAATAATTTTGATTGTGATTTAATGAAGGTTATGGATAATTTTGCTGCTTTACTGCAGTTTCCTGTCAAAAAGATTGATTGGAGGGGGGCGCTGGCCTAATCAAAGTCCAGAGCAATATCCATCTGAATCTTTTTTTTTTAGCAATACTGCCCTACTAAGCTAAAAGGCAGTGACTGGGCAGAGCTGGGCATGAACTCTGAATTACTTTAAAGTGATCATGTCGTCCAGCCTAATTAGTTGTAGCTAGATTACTGTATCATTTTCTCCAAAACGACACACATTTGATATAAGATATTTAGTCATAATATTCATTAAATATCATGAAAATGATAAAAACTCATTTTAGACCAGAAATGCAGTTACTGTCTTTTTGCCTTGATGGCTAGAATGCGTGAGGTAAGTTACAAAGAAGCGTAGAAAAAAAAAAAAACTCATCTTAAAACCTCTAAAAAACATGTAGATGGAACTGAAAAGTACTCTGAGTTGTTCCACCCTACAAAAACCCAGTGAAATTAAAGGTATAGTGGAGGGTGTTCTTTTTCCGGGTGGATCATCAAAATAACTGGTCCTCCTAAATTTTAATCATTCTGGTGATGTTTACATTAGGCCGTCCTAGAGCGTGCACGAGGAGAAAAGGGCTCGCGCACGTTTAATAAGCTTTCCCTCTCAGGAGTGGGTACAGGGCTGTGCATGTGCACTTTTTTTCTAGAGGGTGGGTCTTTTCAGAAATTTGCAAAAATCCTCCACTGTATCTAGGGTTATGATTGTAATGTGATTTATTCATGTGAAGATGTAAAGGATTTAATAAATTAGGGTTATTTCCAAAGGTCAGATGTCAGTAAATCTTTGTTTCCTGAATCCAGGCACAGAGAGGAAACCCTTTTGACCGCCTTAACGGCGTTACAGTAGTCCTGCTCTTTCTTTGGTTCATCGTCCTCTACTACGGTGAGAGAGATTACGTCACTTTCTAAATCTTATGCGTTTGTTCTTTGTTTTTACACCATTGAACTGACGTCAGCCTTCTGTCTCCACCAGCATACAACTACTCTGTGGAAAACCAGACGCTGATGGACGCGTTGGAGAGGCAGCAGAGTCGAGTGCATCACATTTATTCCAGCATAGCAGGTGATCCTCTGCCTACGTACGGTCAGAAACGGAGCATTAGGTTTGATTCCAAAGATGAGCTTGGTCCTGCAAAGACTAATAAGGAAACGGGTCTTTGTGTTCATTAAAGAGGGAATTTTAGACCAATAGATCACATTTATAGCTTCTACTACAGTATCTAACATCTAAACATCCTCAGCTGTGTTAAAGTAAACGTTTCAACCCTGATGATGATATACCCTAGGGCTGGGCGATAATTCAATAACGATATATATCGATCGATAGACGTGTGGCGCAATAGAAAAAAAGAAAGTCGATAAAAGTTCGATAAAAAAGAAACGCTGTTTTCCTTCCTTCTCATTGTAGCCTAGCATGTAGGTTTATGCTAGTCACTACTTCCTCCCAACCAATCACAATCGCGGACCCAGGCACGCCGTCACCAAGCGCCGCCCTCTCAAACCACAACACAGAGCACATGAAGATGTCGCAGCAAGGAGAGGCGGAGGAAATTGTTCCAAAGAAGGGTTTTTGTAGTTCGCCAGTTTGGCAGCATTTCGGTTATGGCAAGTCGGACAAAAAACAAACCACAGTCATCTGTAAAATGTGTAGGGAACCAGTGAAAACGAAGTCTGATAACACAACCAACTTTTTTTTTAATCATCTCAGCCGCTCACACCCGCAGGAGAACAAGCTGTGTAGGCCCCGGCGCGGCTCTCCTCTGAGGAATCTTCGGGAAATATATATATATATATATTTTCAGTTCTGGGCAGTTTCCCACGTAGTTTTAACAATTGAGAGAAAAATGCTGAGGGGCCAGCAACTTCAAAGTAATGAAGTAATGAACTCAGGTTAAAGGAGGAAACTAAGCAGAACCAGGTTCCAACCGGGGGGTGGGGGGTTAAATAAAGATTTAATTCAAAGTCTGTGTTTGTGTTCTTTATTAAAATTAAATCATTTAGCAATATTATAAAAAGTCCAGGCATACCTGCACATAAAATATGGTTTCAAATATTTTCAATAATTATCGATATCAATCAATATGCATTTTTTTTTTTATCGATAAGCTTTTTTTCTATATCGCCCAGCCCTAATATACCCTCAGATAAAATTACATTGGTTGTTATCAGCAATCCTGGAATCATCAAAGCTCACACTAATCAGAAACTGGTCATCAACAGTTGGACATGATTGACACTTGATTGAACATAGCTCAATCTTTTTGACATCCTTGAATTGTAGACAAAAGCTGTTTGGTGTCTGCAAGAAAAATGTTTGTAGTGATCATCATAGAAACCTATGATGGTTTCTGAGATGCATTTCCACCAAAGCAACCATCATTCCTGAACCTGTTCGCTTTAAAGGTATGCAGGATAATCTTTTATTTCCGGGTGGATCAACTAAATAAGTGGTCCTCCTAATTGTCAATCATTCTGGTTATACTGTATGTTTACATAAGGCTGTCCTTTGTGATCGTCTCCAGTTAGCTATCTTTTTCTGCGCAAGCGCACTTTCAGGCATATATCCGTGGTGAGCTGCGGTTTCAGACAGTCATTGAAGCTCACCTTTTTAACCATGGTTCTTTGAAGATGGCCGAGGCATGGAGAGCTGTTCTTGCAAAGCATTATGGGATTTGCTATCACAGCCGCAGGCACCGCGCAGAGTAGAAGGAGTTACGTGACCAACAGGGAGCAAAAAGTAGTTATCTGTCCGAACGGGAGGTTAACTATAAAGTCTCTGCTCTATATAGGGATTGAGGGATTTAGAGGTTAGGGCGGATGTTCAGACAGAGTAAGCTTGTATGAGCTATGAGAACAGCAACGTTTAAACAGTGCACAAGGAGAAATGGGCTCTTGCATGCTCTTGCACGCGTTTAGTAGGCGTTCCCTCTCAGGAGCGGGTACAGGGCATGTGTTTTTTACTGGAGAGGGCAGGTCTTTTTCTAAAAAATTCACAAAAATCCTCCACAATTCCTTTAAGGATCCGTCTGAGCATGCATCATAAACCAAGGGCATTACACAACAGGAAAGGAAAGCATTTCTGAAGGCAGTTCTAAAACTGCCTTCAGTGTGTGCGTAGTTTGGCATGTTAACACATGTTGGACCGCTACAGATCACAGTAGGATCTTCATCTTTGCTGCAATACTAGCTGTTTCTACTGTATCTAAATTTGACCAGTCCAATGGTGACATCACAGTCTGAGCAGAAACATCAGCATTTTGCTCAACTTGAACCATAGATCCCTCTTTTCTTCTTCACTGGTTAAAAATCATATTTCTGGACACTGGAAAGCACTTTCACTACCTTCAGATGTTTCTGCCTTGATTAGGGCTATGAAACTCTAGTCCACAAGGGTTCAGTGTCTTGTAACCTTAAGATACTCGTGTCCAACACAAATCTAGCAAATTTGATACCTGCCAGCTAGAAGTGTGAAACTTGGACAGGGTCAAGGGGTTCCTCTAATTATACAATGAACTTTCAGCCAGATTCTGAAAATTGATTTAAAGAGCAATAATTTCTTGAAAGGTTGGGATCCAATTTTTCAATTAAACTGTTATTTTGATTTTAAATGATGCATAAGCTGGAGAAAAAAACAACAACTAACAAACCACAACCTGTGATGTGTTTGCAATGGACCCAAAGCAGAGAGGCAATCATTTAAGGCATTAAAACTTTCAACTATTTGTTCACTTATCTCAGGTCTTCTCATTAAACTAAGATGTTTCCGTACTTTCCTAATATCACAAAGGTCACAAACTCCTCCAGTTCTGCCAAAAAACTAAAGTGATCTACTGTCCAAGCTACAAATAGTGCAACTTACTGTAATGTAAATGAGAATAACCCTGTTTGCCTCAGATAATCTCCAGTATATTATAATTTGGTCTTCTAATTCTTAGGAATCTGTGCTCAGTGGGGAAAAGGAAAAGCAATTTAAAGCATCATTAAAGGTCCAAAATTAATCTGACATGCATGATATTAGGTGTTTGACCGATAAAGAACACCAGTATATCAAAAGACACGATGGCACACTTGCCCTGTGCAGTTATCAGTCCCTGTATCAATTTCTGAAACTTAAAAACTAAAAAAAAACACACCAAAATTTTTATTCAATAAGTCAATATCGCCCGATACCAATAAGCTAGCTGATAATACTGTGAGTTCCTACCATGCATGTTTTCAAACCCTGGAGCTGTAGATGTTAATTTGAAATATCCATCTTCCTGCATAGAACATATGGTTGATCATCCTCTGAAGAGCCACAGAGCTTCACATCCTGAGGATGGAGGTATGAAGATGTCCCTCTTAAAAGTTCGCATGGATCTGGGAGAGCGTGTTGTCCTTCAGTGTGTCACCTCCTCTTTCAGGGATCTTCATGTGGGACATGGACACTGCCAGTCGTCTCCTTGGATTTTCTGCCGACCTCCAGACAGCGGAGAGAGTAAAAGCAGCGCTGCATTATCCCCCCAGCGACAGTCGCTTCGACGAAGCCCCGCAGGTCCTCTCCAGGCCGTGCTTCTCCTCCGGGGCTCACTTCTGGGAGGTGGAGGCCGAGGGCTGCTGGGACATCGCCCTGTCCTACAGGAGCATCCAGCGAAAGGCCGGAGACAACAGCACGTTCGGACACAACGCAGAGTCCTGGAGCCTCGGCTACAGCGGTCAGGGTGGGCTTTACGCCTGCCACGATAAAGAGAGAACCGCCGTGGCGGGATCGCTGCAGAGCAGCAGAATAACAGTGGAGGTGAACTTTGAGGAGGGCAGAATCAGCTTCAGCGCGGTGGGTTCCATAAAGACACTGCTGCACCAGTTCAAGGCAGAGCTGAAGGAGTCGCTTTGTTTGGGTTTGGGTCTTTATCATGTAGATCCACCCAGCAGAGCCTCTGTAGTGAAGTTTTTATGAACAATCCTCCACCAAGCATCCAGACTACCGAGAGGCCTTGCACTTACTTTTAAGCTCAGGAGATGTTTGATTAAAGTGTTTTCTTATGTATATCAACTAAATAGGTTATTTTTAAAAGGGGTTGATTTATATTAATGATGTAAATATATCAAAACTTTCTTCAGTGTCATGACAAAGTAGTTTTTCGTACTGATAAAATTCCCTACCTCATATTTAGGGTTCTTGTTTTTCAATCATACATGCTGTTGTGTTAAATCAGTAATGTAAAGAAATGTCAAACTAAAATCCTTCTAAGGAGGCATGAAGCGTTCAGATTAAATCTCAGGAACTGAAGAGAAAAGCTTTCGATTTGGAGGCACCTTAGGGAAATGGGGAAACTGCAGAAACCAGGGTCTTCCTATTTTTTCTTTATTAAAAAAAAAATAACATTTGAACATTGAAGAACTGAACTGCCTGATTAAAAATTACACTTATAAAAAAAGCCGTTAAAAACAAAACTCACACACACAAATGAAGTCATTTTTTTGTTTGGATCTATTGTTACTGGAAACATTTCTCAGCTGTTTAAAAAAAAAAAAAAAAAAAGTAAATTTACAGTTCCTTTTTTAACGTAACTAGCTGCCTTTAGAACGTCCTTTGAGGTTAACATGAGAGGAATGAAGGCCTCCTGTTCTGGATCGGTTTAACTGATGAATGTCTTTTCCTCAAAAGTGTTAAAGTACAATTTACACACAAAGAAGTGACAAATATTGTCACTTCACTCTGTTTAAGTCTTTTTTTTAAACCTATATTTAAAAAAAAACAACAGAAAACTGATTTCCCAGCTGCGTCATCTGTATGATGCTCACTTCACAGTCCCTAGGTTCTGGTTCCGGATGGAGCACCACGCTTTGAAGACATCCCTGCAAAAACAGCACATCTGTCAGAAAATGCTTTCTAATGGCTGTAAAGAAAAACAAACAGGAGGGAAGGCCTGCACACCTGCAGTGAGTGGCCACGCATTCATTACTGCAGTACTCCTTGTCCCAGTCCTTGCTGTCCACCGCCGGGTTGGTGCAGCCCGCTCTCACACAGATGCTCTTCACGGAGGCATCACCGGTGGACGCACTCACCTCCATCACATCCTGGAAATAAGAGCCAAACATTAGCGGCAGCTGAGTCTGATCCGTTTACACAAGGCTGCAAAAACTAATTTAAAGAGGTAGAGATTAAGGGTGTGCAAAATAATGGTTATGATGATGCATTGCGATTCTAATTTTTGTGATCTACTGCATCGATTCTTGAAGGCAAAAATCGATTAAAAAAAATAAAAAATTGAACAAATAAAATACATGATTGGTTGGCGCACATCAGCCAAACCAAGTGGAATACAACTTCCAGTCCAGCAGATGTCGCTGCGGATATGTTGACGCCCACTGCTTTGTGTCATGCGGGATACTGAGACGAGTCATTCGTAAACAAAATATGGAGGAGACTGAGAAAATTCGCCCCCCGGCTCCATCACATTTCAAGTCAGATGCTTGGATGCATTCTGGCTTTAAAAACAAAGGTAAAAATGAAATTGATATGATGCACGTAATTTGCAGAAGGACCACTGAGGCCATGTAAATGGCACTGATTATCCTTATTTTGTTATTTTAAGTTTGATGAATCCTAAGATCTTTTTGACAGTGTGTCCACGCCAGTAATAGTAATATTTCTGTCCAGTATTTGTTTTCATGGCAACACCTCAAAAAGTCGTTTCAATAAATACAGCTATGTATGAATTCAGTTGCTTTCAGTTATGTATCAATTGAAGACAATATCCAGATCATACCCAGCCAGTCAGCCACTGGTAAGGGCTGTATCTTTTTCTTACAGTGTTCAGGGAAAATATCGCAATGCATCGCAATATTTCAAGTATCGTGATGCATCGTGATAGAATCGCATCGTTGGCATGTGAATCGTGATTCAAATCGATTAATGACTTCTTTGCCAATACCCACCCCTAGTAGCCATGGTAATGCGACTGATTTGAGTGTTGGATAGTTTGAATCAGTGCTCACCCAGCTGGTGTTGAACTAAAGTAAATGAAACTACAAAACGGTTTATAAGGGTTTGTTTGTAAAATGCTAAATAATAATGATATCACAGTCATGTTATGAAGTTTTAAAACCATTCAGCCTCAGTCGGTTGCAGCCAGAAGCCAATATTTGAGGCTACAAGGAAACCTAATTTGGTTTAATGTGGATTAATCCCCTTTTAAAAAATTAATTAATCAGTTTTAACTGCTGGAATTGCTGTAATGAAAACGTCACAGTGGTAAAATGAGAGAAAGTTAGTGGGCGTGGTTACGGTCTGCTGGTGTTGAGTCACTAACATTGATCCTTAGATCTAATTCCTTTAGCTCTAGATTAATTCTGCTGCTTCAGGTCCTGATATAAAACTGTAAAAGTTTTTCATTATTAATTTTCAGCCACACTTTTCAGATATTTATGTGCAAACCACACATCTCTCATTTGGAGTATTGTGTTGATCCATTACATCAGATTCAGCTGAAAAACACTGAGTTTGTTGGAGCGAATCCAAAGAAATGAGTCATGACATAGCGCATGGTTTCTAAATATGAGCCTAATGTTTAAAAGTTTGGACTGCAGCAGGAGAGCGTTCAGAAACATTGATTTGAAAGTTTACCTCATCTGAATCCAGCACCTCTGTGACGTCGTCGTCACCTGAAGCCGTAGCAGAGCTCCCTCCTGACGTAGCTGCAGCAGCAATACTGGGTACAACAACGGCGGGAGCCAGTCGGTCCTGAACCTGGACGGGTGCTGGGACTATTTTGATCTGGAGCGGCGGTGGAGGCGTGGCCGTGAGGATAGCGGGTTGACCGAACGCCGTCGCCCCCTCCCTGGGTTTGGCCTGTAAAGGAGGCGGAGCGGGCGCCATCTGCTGGAGCCGTGGAGGAGGCGGGGCGTTCTGCATCTGCTGAAGAGGCGGCGGCTGACGGGAGGCGCTCGAGACCAGAAGGGTTGGCTGCGCTGCACCAACCCCCCCAGATAACAGGGTGACCACCTGACCTCCGCCCTGCAGTAAGTGCTTTGGGATTATGATCTTGGTGATGGTCTGGGCTGGAGCCAGGATGGCACCCGGAGCATTTGCTTGGTTTTCTAAGTGGGAGGGTGTCATCACCTCAGGGACGTCCAGGATGATGTTGGAGGCACAGATATTAGTGTTGGCCTCTGCGCTGCCGATTGCTGATGGCAGAAGAATGGTTTGTTGTCCAGCAGGAGCTGATGGGATCAGATTGACCACAGGCGAAGAAGTCTCCAACTCCAAGGAAACTGGCTGCAAGGAGGCAATTTAAAAAAAAGAGGAATATGAGTAAAAAAAACAGAGTAAGGGGGTTTTCCCTCTGCAGGACAGCATGGCGTCACCTGTGACAGCTGGCTGGCTTTGTACGCTGCTAGCGCCTTTAAGTACTCCTTTTTGGAAGCTTCTGTTTTCTTTTTGTAAACCTATAGAAAACAAATAATCATTCCCAAATCTGGATATAATTCCTCCGACCACTACTCCAGATCATCAAGAAGAAAAAAAAAATGCAGCACCTGTTTCTGATCCTCCGCCAGACTGTCCCACATGGACGCCACGATCTTTGACACCTCCCCAAAGGAGGCGCTGGGGTTCTGGCCCTTAATGGCCGACTGAGTGTCTCTAAAAAACAGAGCGTAGGCCGAGACCGGCTTCTGTGGCTCGTTAGGATCCTTCCTCTTCCGTCCCTTCTTTCCTCCCGTAGCTTCAGCTGCAGAGGCGACAGCGGCAGGTTTCCCGCTACCCCTCCTGGGTGCCGCTGGGGTGGCAGAGCAGGGGGGCGCAGGGTTGGAGAACATGTGGGAGAGGGTAGGGGAGGAGGAGAGGGACACGGGGGAGTCCACCAGGAGGCTTCTCTACATGTGGAAGGAAGCAAACAATAAAAATACAACCATTCATTATTATTATGATGATTCTGGTGCAAAGAATACACAGCAGTGGCAGTATTATAACGCAGGGATTTTCCTTTTGTTTTTTTAAAGCAGGGATGGCGGAGATAAAGACAGGGCATTCCTGTTTAAAACCGGATTTACACCATCAAACATTTAAAGAAAATATTTCAATTTTAACCAAATGTTTGGGTGTGGACTTAAAACTGACAGTATGTCAGTAAGTGTAATATTGGCAGCTATGACTGCAGCAAAAAGTATCTCTAGTTAATCTAAATAAGGGAAGTGTTGCATACCTGGATTATTTTTTAATCAATATGTGAAAACATTCCTTCTACTGCTCAGACATGCACTACTTAGCGCGGCTCAATGAAATAAAGCTAACCCTAACAGAAAACATTGATGCTGGTGGATTTGACAAAATGTGAAAATGTCCAATAGGATGAGAAGACTTCTTCAAGGAGACTGAAATTTTCTTTACCTTGAAGTCATCCATGTCCTCATCCACAGGGGAACCAAGAGGAGATGAGGAGATCAACAACGGCTCGTCGTTTGCATCCGAATGATGGCCAGAGGTATTCCCACTGAGACCCAGCGTCAGTTCTGATGGGTTCAGAAGACCATGACCCAATTCACTCAGCTGAACATCAATGGTCATGGGAGGAGAACGGCTGAAATGCGAGCCGCTGGAAGTCCCCATTTCCTGTTGAGAAAGTAGAGCAAACAAACTTTAACCAGTTTGGCACACATTCAAATTGAACATTTCGTCAAATTCCTTTTCCCAGATTTATCATTGGATGGATGGAGGTTTCTACATGAACAGTTTTAGATGAAAGAACAGACAGACAGATGGATGAAAAAGTGGACAAACAGAATTTATCGCATTGAAGTAGAATTAAATGTTTAATAATGACAGGGCTTATACAGGAATGAGTAACTCTAAGTTAATGCTATTTTAATGTTATTAGAAATAGCAGCCACTTTTGGAGACATTTACATTTTCCAAATATGCATTTTCCAATTCTTTGGCTTTTTCTCCACCTCAAGCTTCTTTTCCGAACATACGGCTTCACGATCAACCAGAAGCAGCTTCACACAAATATATTGCGATATAATATATCTGATTAAATTGTTTTTATAAACATTTTCTTTAATATAGCAATTTAAATGCCACAATAATCAAATAAAACAAATTTTAATTTCAATAAGGCCTTAATTAAAAAAATTATAATTTAATTTTTAATTAATTTTAATTACCTCTATTACTAAAAATAGGTAATGAAGTATAGATACATACATATATATAGTAGAATCCGCTTATAGTGGTTTCCATACAAATGCTGTTTAAATAATTTGTTTATAGTAATCAAGAAATCTGCTTATAGTGTTCATTTTTGGCCATTTTATGAATGTAAACGTGCAGAAATAATTAATAAGTAGACTGAAGTGATGACAGCACTCCGTTGTCAGAGCCCGTGAAGGATGAAGACGTCATTGTGGAGGTACAAGAGCGCTTTGGTGCAAATACCAGTGCTGCACGCAGCGAGGAGGGGGAGGATGAAGATGTGGCGACTGTTGTCTCTTCCACAACTGAGATGAGGAATGTAGTATGTATTTTAAAGATTGATGTCCTGCATGTTGGTTTCAAAAACTTTGACCTTTTACATCGTTTTGAAAAAGAAGTAAACTCCATGTTGGACAACACTGTGATCCAGGGAACCAGGGATAAATATGTGAAGTGATTTCTTAATGCGGTGCAGCAGATCCGCAACACAAAACAGATGTAGGCTATCTTTAATTTTGCAGTTATGTTCTATGTTGTTGTTCTATTAAATCGTTTCTTTCAAACTTCAGACTTACCAGGCTACCAGAGTAATGTCTGCACACACAATGCAGTATACTGTAATTAAAGTTGCATGGTACTGTAATAAAATTCAGTAAATGCAGAAGCTATCTGTTTCATTTCATTTTTCTCATTGTAAAAGCACAAAAATGGCATTTAGATTATGTTCTGCATAAAAAGTGAAATTGTGAAAAGTGAAAACAGTAAATTCGGATATAGACATCAATCGCTTAAAGTGTTCAAATTGAATCTGGACCAATGTGATCACTATAAGCAGAATCCACTGTATGTATGTATATATATATATATATATATATATATATATAAGTCATGGGTACTTGTTGATGGCATTTAAATGGTTTCTAATAGCATTAAAGAAGCAATAAAAAGCATTAAATAACCCTGTATAAAGCCTGTGAATAGGAACCCTACTGCTCCAGAGTGAATCACTCACCAGGGCAGAGGAGCTTATCAGCCCTCCTCCTCCAGCTTGGCCTATCGCTCCAAGGTTCAGCTGCTCCAGACTTTGGGATCCTGTGTTTACAAAGGTGGAGGCGAAGGATGGATCATTGGCCTCCACCACCAGGTTGCTCACCAGGCTTCTGGGACCGGAAGAGCCGCTGTTGTCGTCAGAGCCATCGGTCAGATCAAAGTGGGAGTCGCTGATGCTCAGAGCCTGGTCTGGATCCAGGGAGATCGGGGGGATCTCGAAAACTTCATCTCCGAGACTAGGAGTGTGAAATGTCTGCTGTAAGGGGGCAAAACAAGAGGGATGGTTTCAGTCATTAAAAACACGGCATCATATAAGGCAGATGAAACGCCCCTAAAGTTTGATCACTAACCTCTGCGGATAAGAAATGATGCCCAGCTCCACTGATAGCCAGGTAGCTGTCGCTGCTTTCTGAAAACTGCAGCAAATAAATAACATTTCACTCACAGATAAATCCACGATACTTTATAATAAACACATCTAAGGCTGCACCGACCCTTACCTTGTTCTCCCCAGAATAACCACCGTATTCCTGAGTCTCCATAAACTCCGCATCAACATTTGAAGAGCAGCCATCTGGCAGCTCGGAATAAAATTTAAGATCCATTTTTTTACTGGTTACTCTAAAAAAAAGGTCCCATTTTTCATACTTGAAGCGGATATTTCTTAAATCGTCCCACAGACTGGTTGTAACATCTTGAACAATCGCTGCTAGCTAGCATCAACCAGGCGGTTAGCGGTTTTTCTACTGTTGAAGCAGATATTTAAAGAATTTGGCTTTCAACCTTAACTGGATTAAAATTATACGATTTAAAATGACAAACAGCTGCAAAAGGCCTGTTTTAATCAGCAGAATAAAAGTGTTGGTCCATAGACAGGCTAAAGTTTATAAAGGCCCAAAACAAGCATGCACATCAATGCAAGACTGCTAGCGCCCTCTGTGGGTACACGGTGGAACTGTGTTGCATTCAAGGGCTTTTGGTAAAACGGAAGTTCAGTGCAAAATACGGTAATTGTGTAATAGGAGTCAGCCAGTTTCAACAGCAGAGAAACCAAGACATGTTATGCCATAAAAAACAGCAATTCTGAGTTATAAAATTTGACTTTAATATCAATATTGTACTTTTGAATCGAATTAAAAACATACATCGGGGCACGTCATGTCCCCCCCCCCCCCCCCACGAGCTTTTTAAGTGCGTCTATAAGTGCTACATTAAGGTAGTTTAATTCTGATAAGGTGTTATATTTAAGGCAAATGACGTGACATTTGCTGATGGCAAAATGTTACAGCTCGTTACAAAAGTGAACTAGCCATGATTGAAATAGTGGTCTAGAAAGAAAAACTTTGTAAGATATAAATTTTTAAGATGATGCGATTAGTTTAAGGGGAGGAAAAATTCTAAAAAACGTAGGTGTCAACTTAATGTAACCTTGTAAGGCTTTCATTTTGCCCTTTGTTATATATAAAAGTTTGAAAAGTAAGATCCCTTTATCTCTGGTTCTATCTCCTTGAACCCCAGTCGGCCGCGGCAGATGGCCGCTCACACTGAGCCTGGTTCTGCTGGAGGTTTCTTCCTGTTAAAAGGGAGTTTTTCCTCTCCACTGTCGCTACAAGCATGCTTAGTGTGAGGGATTGCATTTGAGTCAATGAGTCGATGCAATCAACTGGTTTTCCTTAGATAGAAAACTTTGAATCGATTTCACTGTATGATCTGGTGAACTGTGAAGTGCCTTGAGATGACATGTGTTGTGAATTGGCGCTATATAAATAAACTGAATTGAAATTGAATTAATGCGTTAGCAGTTCAGCTTTGTGTTTCCTGTAATAGAAAAATCATACCACACAAGGATGAAATGAATAAAAGCGGATTCCTTCAGTGTCTGACCTCCATACACCCCTGGAAGAATAATATAAAATTCTAAGAAGAGTTGAATCTGCAGAAAGGTGGTCAACTCATTTAACCCCACTGAATAGGAAAGGAAGGTTTAATTCATATAAGTGATGTAAAATGACCAAATAAGTTTGGCAACATTGGATTTTTTCCCTCCTGCTTAGTTTTTCAGTTTTATCAGATTTGTAGTTATCAAAACATTTTCTTAGCAAATTGATTATTTTGGATATTAAAAACGTTTGCAAACATTTATAGTAAACGGAACTTCCAGATTTTATAGTTGAAATTATTAAGTGTTGAAAACAGAAAATCCTTTGAAACAAGCAAAAAAACATGAAACCAGTTCAAGTTATTTTTACTCTGGGCTGTTTTTAAAAAGACGATGCACACTGGGAGGTTTTTTTCACTGTAGATTGCTGTTATTCATATCACAGATACAGTCAGATCATAAAACAAGAATAACTCACAGCTGTCATCTTTGCACCATAGTACACAACTGATGAGCTCTACATTATACAATACACACACCACCCCTTAAACCGCTTCAGTAACTAATACGCCACTTTAACCCCTCCCTCCCTCCCTTCTCAGCCCACAACCCTTACGCAGAGTAAAGACACTAAAGTCTATCCACACACTGGATCCCCTCTTGGTTTACAGTCTTGTCCGAAGAGAGGCCGACCGAAGGAGATCAAAGGGGAGAGAGGGATCAGGCTTTGCTCAGTACGCGTCCAGTTTCATGTAGCTCTCGAGGACCAGCTTTGAGGTTTTTTTTTTTTTTCTTCTCTTTTTAAAGATATGAAAAGTGTGTCTATACAGCAAGGGTCCTCTTTTGGTCACGTCTGGGAATGTGATGGGAAATTTATGGGTTTGGATGGAAGAGATGAAAAAGTACGAGTGGAGAAGAGAGGCCGCTCAGTTCAGCAACGTCATGAGGAAGATCGAAAAGAGCTCGGTGCAAAAACGGAGCGATGGGGGAGGGGTTAGAATAAAATGGGTGGATGCACACCTGCTCCTTACACAGAAATAATCCCAAAGAAAGAAAATAATGAATGAAGGTAGCAAAAACAAAAACAATGCTTGATTTGTTACATGTTGGTAAAAAAAGAAAATTTCGGAATAACATGATTTCATTTGGAAAGAGGGGGGATAAGTCAGATGTATTTGGAGTTCAGTCTTCTGAGCTTGATGAGGAGTCAGAGTCCTTCGGCGCCAGGATGACATCTTCCAGTAGCGCTTCTTGATCCGAGCTGTCGTAGTCGCCTTGAGAGAGGCTGTCACCGCCCCCCATTTTAACGTCAAAGTCCGGGCTGGTGAGGAAGTGATGGGGCGTCTCCAAGTCCTCCTCGTCCATCATGTAGGCTCCGTCGGAAACCAGAGTCTCTTCTTCTACTCCGTCCAAGTTAGGGTCTTCAGGCGTGGGGTCAGGAGTGTGGTAATGATGGTGGTGGTGGTGGTGATGGTGGTGGTGACGCCGCCGGTGACTTTTCTTTGGAATCTCTGAATTCTCCGACAGCAGGCGGTGGAAGAGGGATTCAGGCAGCAGACCCTGCAGGAGGAACAGAAAGATCCACGTCAAATTAATTTATGCTGAAAAACAGAGAAAACATTTTCTTAAAATTAATCAGATTTTCCTGCATCAAAAATTAAATGTCTTGCGTACAGATTTTTGAACGGTTTCAGACCACTCGGGTGAAACGGCGATATTAGGATTCTCCTCCAGATACTCCTTTAGATCCTGAAGCATCGGCGAGAAAGCAGCTCCAACCTGGAGAGAGATGTCTGAATGTTACTTGGTTCAGAGTTGCTATAAAATACAGACCTTTTCTGAATTCTCACTTCTTTTTTTAAATAGAAAACACTCCGCCAAGGAGGTTATATTTTTAGGATAGTTAGTGTGTTTGTGTACGGGATACCTTGAAAGCTATGGATGGATTTTAATTCAATTTTTATCAGCGGTGTCCTTCATGCCAAGGAACAATCCATTCAATTTTGGTGATGACTCAGATCATAATCTGGATACAGGAATTTTTAAAAGATTCTCTAACATTGTAAAAAAGGTATATTAGTCGAAAAAGCAGTTCCACATTACACCAGAAGGTGGCAGCAGTGACTATTGACACCTTCAGCATGGAAGTATTTTGCTGAAGTCAAAAACCCAAGAAAAGGGAATGTTGTTGGTGTGTGAGCAGGATCAATTGGAAACTTATGAACAGATTTTATGGAAATGTGTTTTTTTTTTTTTTACCAGAGGTGTGCCTCACGCCAAGGAACAATTAATTTAAATCCGGTAATGTTTCAGATTATGTGTGAGTTTTTGCTAAAGGTCTAAGCCTCAATTTGGGGTAAAATTTGGTGCTTGTCGAAGATCTGCACTCTTCAAGTGCTTTTATAGTTTGACATATTTTTATGATACATATTTCTGATATAAGTGGGAGAAATACAGCTAAGGTGAAAAAATAAGCAAAGAACTGAAGGAAATAATGCATAAGATTAGGTAAGAGAACAAAGGAAACATGGAAAAATACAGGGACAAAAGGGGCAAACGAGAGAAAACATGGGAATAAGAGGAAGAGAGGGCAGAAGCAAATGCACACATTAGGTAGGAAGGAGAGAACAAGGCAGAATAAAAGAAACAAGGGTTAAAAAAGAACAGATGAAAACAACAAAGCAGGACATAACTAAGTAAACAAATATCCTCTGCTCTTATCCAGACCTGAGCTCTACTGAGAACAGCCTATAATAACACTGAACTAGAGACTGTACAGCTGTAACCCACCTTCTTTCCTGTCAGCATGTTGATCACTTTGACCTTCTCAGTGCCTGTCAGAGGTTTATTTGCTCGCCGTCTCCTCTTCCTTTTGCTCCTGTTAACCAGCAGCTGGTTGACAAAAAGTAAAACTAAATCATCATCCTGGAAGCATTTAAATACAAGCCTGAAGCCCGGATTATAGGATCAAACATTCAGGTGTCATGAAATTACCTCCAACATGTCTCCTTCCACCTCATAATCTGGATTCTCTTTCAACCAGGTGGGAGGGTCCCTTCTTCGAGGGGTACGTTCCAGTGAATCGAGTTCGTCAAACTCTGACAGCTGAAAGATTAGGGAGCTTGGTCAGCCTAGTTTCTGCTTTACGGGATCAAAGTTAAAAATCAGCCTAGTTAGCTAACACATCTGTTTCAGAGCATCACTCTCCACCCCACAGCGTGTGATGTCACATGTTGACTCCTCAGCTCCAAATATAAACAATAGCAAAGGGTCAAAGTTTAATTTAAAGGTGAGTAAATAGAGATGAGTCTGATTTACCTCTTGGTCTTTCCGCTTCTTTCGTCCGCTGCTCTCTCCCCCTGACCCGTTGGGCATTAGTGCCTGCTTGGAGAACGTCAGCTTCAGGCCTTCTTCCTGAAAGGAGGGGCGTTAAAGTTAAAGATGTTGATATATAAAAGGTGATCCCAACTCCTAAATCCTCCTCATATCAAATAAGATCTTTCTGTTTCAGCTAGCATATGACCCCTTTGACCTTAGCTCCATTAGGTCCTCAGCGGTAGGATCTACAGGACTCTTAAAGGTGGATATAAAAGCTATTTTTTCCAATGATATAAATATGTTACAGTAATGTAGTAAAAACTGCGTCCATGATGTCACCTTGAGGAGTTTGACTGTGAACTCTCCGTCTTCCCCCTCCGGCCCGATGCCCCCCGGTGTGCTGATGGGTTTACGGATGACCCTGGGGTAGGCCATCTCCTCTCCCAACAGCTCTGAGCTCGGGTTGAGCTGAGCTTCAGGAATGTAACGTCGGCCCGAGGGCCACTGGCCGGTCAGCACAAGGGTGCACAGGTTATCCAGGCGGTTGATCAGCACACGGTCCTGAAACACCAAACGCACCATTATCAGTTTGCTCCCCAGCAGAATCCAGTCCAGACGAACTAATAAAATGTTTTCCTTTTAACTACCTTGGGCCACTCGACTCGGATAGGTTCAGGTGGAAGTATGCTATCCTGAGACGGAGTCATGGAGAGTAAGCTATTTTCTTCATCCACATCTCCCACCTTCATACCCCCTAAAACGGTGTAGATATTAATTTTTTTCTTTTCTTTTTTTTACAGCAGTATTGATTTTCTTTTCTTTTTTTTTTTATTTAAATCGTGAACTTACTTCCTTCTACCTCCTCGTCGCTGTCTCCGCTGTCATCGCTGCTCCCGGATCGCTCCGAGGACGAAGACCCCGAGTCAGAATCTGAATCCGAGTCGGACCCTCCTCCACCTTTCCTTCCTGCTTTTTCCGATCGTTCCCTGCTGTTCTTAAAGCTCCAGTCCTGACCTTGCACTTTGACAGCGTGGTGACTCAAAGGTGTGCTCTGCAGCTCAGTACTCATACCCCCCCCAAACAGTCGAGCGCTCTCATCTGTTTCCTCCCGCTTCATACTCGTTAAGTCCAACTCCACCTTGGGCTGGCCGAGTGTCATGATTGGTGGAGGCGGAGGAGGAGGAGGGGGCGGTAGAGCCTGCTGGTTCTGGATGAATTCGTCGCGAGCCGAGCTGAAAGTGAACTGCGGGTCCGGGAAGATGGAAAGCTCAGTACGGCTGACGCCGTGCAGTGCGGCGCCGAGCATTAGCTGCCGATCGTGGTCGGGCATGGTCCACCAAGCAGGCAGCTCAGAGCTGCGTGGGGCCAAGAGGAGACGCTCCTCCAGGGAGGGGTGAGGGAGGACTCGCTCACGAAGGCGGCGCAGAAGGCTGATGCGGTACAGAGTACGGGAGGCACGTTCTTCAGTGATGGGAGCCACAGTTTGAGTCAGCTCTGAAGGATCTGCGAAGGATGAAAATATTTTGTAACTGCGGCTTAAAGGGGTAATTAAGGAGAGTCACTACATACTAGCACTGGTTAAAAAACAAAAAAATCTTCCCTTTATATCTAATGCCATTATTTCTGTTTCATTAATAAAAATCAGACATTTTAACAGCAGGATCTTGTAATTATTTTTGTTAGGTTTACTTCTATTGTAATAATAGAATATCCAGGTATTTTTCTCTCTTTTGAGCTTTAATCTCTAAAAATAACCAACTGACCAAAATGGGAATCAGTAGATCAGCTCTACATCAGTCAGAAAGAAGACTAGCTAAAGCAGATGATTCAGAATATAAATAGGTCATGAAATGAGAAAAGAAAGTATAATCACCTTCACCACGACCTGGGCGGAGGTGGCACACTCTTCGGCACATTGCGACGAATGAACGGAAGTATCGACTGAGGCTCTCGTCGGTTTTTTTATCCAGGCGGGCGAAAGTTCGGAAACGGTTCCAGTCGAACTCCACTTCTCCCTCCTCTGAAATGCCGGGCTCCTTCTTAATCTTCTCTACTCCAAACGTGGACACCACACGGTAGAAATCACTCTCTTCTCTCCGCGTCCACCTGTGAGGATGACGTGACAGGCTCGATTTAGACAATTTAAAAAAGTGAAACAGGACAATAAGTTCCACTAAGTTCATTTTATTCCCAAATCCAATGTTAAATAGAATCCTAAAATCTAAAAACCTATCTTGTTTCAATCACTAGAATGATTATGATGGATTAACAGTGAACCTTTGTTGTCGTTCCTGCCGTGCGATTTCCTTTAGCTTGCTGGCCTGTTCGCACCGCCTCCGTCTGCGGTCGCCTTTGGCCTCGGCTTCCATCTTCAGCTGCTCCTGTCTGTAGCTGCGCTGGTACGCTGTGATCAGTCGCCTCAACCGTGCAGTTAGCGACGAGCTTGAGGGCCACTCGCACACTCCACTCTGACTCGTTGAGCTTTCTGTTACCGTTGGTACCGTCTTGTCTTCCACTGAAATCTCATCGTCCACGTTCATAGAGTCAGGCTGTAAGAAAAATCAAGTGAGGATCGGATGAATGACCAGAATCTTCAGTTACATTTATGGACATAGGAAGAAAAATGTTACACATAAGTACCTCATCAAAAAGATCTTTGGAGACTCTAGATGCTGGCTTGAACTCGGGATCTTCTGAAAACTTATCAAAGTCGGCACTAAATAAATAAAATGTAAGAGTCGAGGAGAAAGAAGAAGGAAAAACACGGGGTCAGAACAAGAGCTTCTTGGTAACAATTTTACCAATATTTCAAAATGAAACCGGAATAAATAAGAATGGACGGACAGACATCCAAATCAGTCGAAGCTAGAGAAGTCTATATGATTTCTAATTATAGCAAAGCTTTAAGAAATGGATTCCTTAAACATTAAAAACAAACATTGAATCGGCAGTTTTAATATTATTCTGCTTTAAATTTGCAGCGAAAACAGACCCTGTTTAAACATAGGGTAATGCTACTGCTACCTAAGAAGTTGTTCATTGCTATAATAAATAAATGATACTCACTCATCTCCCAGCTCGGTGTCCCCGGTGTGCTGCTCAGCATCAATTGCCTTGTCGTCAGGCCGACCAACTCTTTCCACGAAACAGAGGCAGGGATCGGCACGCATGGTAGTGTACATCTCATAACCTGGGAAGCAAAGTTTAAAACCAAGGCTGGTAAATGATGAATATACAGAATGCAGGTTACAACTATTTAACAACAGACTAGTAGACCCGAACAGCCTCAAAGGGAGCAGCAGAACATATCCAACCAGACCTACCATGTTTGAAGACACCAGCGAGCAGCGAGCGGTCTGCGTCTGAGTCCCACCAGGCAGCAGGTACCTCCTGCTGTTCCATCTCTGGCATCCAGATATCAACATCCCTAAAGACAAAAACATAAACCATTAAATGGAGTTCATGATGATGAACTGTAGTAAACGAGAGCAGAACATTTGTTACCGAATGTCAGCTCCTTTCAGGACAGAATCTGCATGGTCTCCAATGACCTCCTGCTTCAGGTAGTAGAGCATACGGACCCTGAGCAACACTCTGAGAAAAGACGGGGGAATTTGATGTTAAAAGAGCTCAGAAGAAGCTTTCACACATTTTGAACCAAATTCTTTATGGACATTATGATGGATGTAGTGGGGTATGTTGTGCATCTACTCCTGATTAGCTTTCACCTACTTGTTGCACTGGTGCTTCAGATGTTTGCGGTAGCTGTCGTCCAGCAGCAAAGTGTCGGGGTTATATTTGCGGATCCACTCCACCTTCTGGACATCGAAGGTGCTCTGGGCCTTGACTCTCTTACCTTTCCTGCCTCTTGGAACCGGGATAGAAAGACCTAAGCAGTAAAAAAAAATGTAAAAATGTTTTGTCTTTGAGACCCTTTTTTTTGCCAAGTAAGCCTACAATGCAGAATCGACTTCCTACCAGAGTGGTTCAGTAGTGTTTGGGGTTCTCTGCCATTTTCTGGTGGAGTAATCAGCTCCCAGATGAAGCTCTTGATGTTCTCATCACCACGATAGTGCATGAGACAGAAGACCAGAATGACACGGCAGATGGTTTCTACATCACGTTCACTCAGACGCCTTTTACATCTGGCGTGAGCCAAGATATCCCTCCAGCGGCCCCATCTAAGAGGATCAAACAGGTGAAAATGGCATAAAAAAAAATAAAAATCATCCACTAAACATCACGATGCACCACAGATTTTTTTCATACCCGTAGACAAGCAGGTGTTTCTCCACTCGGAAACAGTCGGTGCGACCGTAACCTCCCCCACTGTGGCGGTCGGAGCGGCGAGATGACCGCGAGTGTCTGGAATTGGCGGGCGGATACTCGTCGTCACTGTCCAAATCGGACAGGTCGCCTCCTTCACCGCGTAAACTGGAGTACTGGCGGGTCTGCTTCCGAATTCTGGGAGTGTCAATCACAAGAGTGTTCTGTGGAAGGAATAACATAGTCGATATGGTTACTCAACGGCTAACAAATAACACGAGTGTTGGAGCATTTCAGTTTATAATAATATAATTATCGATATTGCTCTCACATTGGAGAAATTTACCTCTAAATTTAACCCACCCCCCTTGGGGAACAGTGGGCTGCCATTGTCCAGCGCCCTGGGAGCAATCAGTGTTTAAGGGTCTTGCTCATGAACCCAGAGTGGAGGCAGTGGGATTCTGCTCTAATAGGAACCCACCTAGTGGTGCCTAGTGGGTTCCTATCCAGTATTAAACTTGTGTATTATCTTTAGTAGACTTGTGAAAATATTCCTTCTAAGGTGCCAGGATGAAGAAATGTGTGTGTATCAATGTATCATGCAATAGATTACTCCTCATAAATTCCTTTAGAGTTCTGCTGTGATCTATTGTAACTAGGGACTTCCTTTTTTCTAAAAAAGAGTGAGGAAGACAGCAGAGGTGCTTCAGAGCTAGGGTTGTCAAAAGTATCGATACTCAAAAAAGTATCGATACTGAAATGTTGTATCCGGATACAATACTCGTTTTTAAAAGAATCGATACAGTGCTACCACCAGTGGCACCTAAGCAGTCATTCATCTAAAGTGCAGAATAGAGGACAATGCACTTTCAGAACACTGTGTGATTGAATAATTCTCTGCACTTTTCAGTTTCAGACTTTTTTTTTTGTAACAAGTGCAGCTTCTGAGAATTATTTTTGTTTCTTAACCGGTTTGGCTAGTGTCATTGTTATGTGTGCAAAGCATATCCAAGGAAGGAACACTTAATTTTTTTTTATCAAGCTTGCTTAATATTGTGCACAGCATACAACCTTTATTGTATTTCTTTATTGTATTTTATTTATTAATGAAAATAATTCTGTAGAATTTTGGAGTCTTTTTTTTTTTTATCCTTGTGGTATCGAAAATGGTATCGAGTATCGAATATTTTCCTTAGTATCGGTATCGAGTTGAAAAGTTTAGTATCGTGAGAACCCTATTCAGAGCAGTGGGAGATTGTAACTGATGTCATCTCTGCTGCTCTCCCCACAGGTAAAAAGAATGAAACGTCTCTTGTGCTTCTTCCTCAGGTTATTAGGGAAGTGTTTGGGTGTTGAAACGACTTTAAATAAAAAACAACATTTTCAGAATTCGACAAACAGCTGCTTTAGCTCTGTAAACTGACCACGATCACCAAAACTGATCCCTTTTGAAAGAATTTCATTACCACCACTGAATACTAGCATTTAACAGCAAATCTGTTCTGAAGAAAAGCTGCATCTGAGTGAAGAAGACTGAAAGTCAGCCACGTTGAGTATGAAATTGAGTTTTTACAAATGCTTCTCTACTGATTTACCTTTCGATTAATGGTATCCATGTCGATATCCGCTTTCTTAGCCCACTTCTGCCAGAACTCGGGGTCATCGAGGGCGATGTCAGTGCGGTTCTCAGAGGCCACGAAGCTGGCTTTGGAGAATGTAGAACCTTTGCCTTCGCTCTCGATAGTAATGGTGGTGGCTCGTCGTTGAAGGATCTGGTCGATATCTTCCTCGCAGAACCGGCTTCCTTCGTCATTTTCATCCATGATGGCGGCATAAGCTCCTTTCCGAAGAAGGTCCTCAATTTCCTTCTTAGAGAACTGTTGCAGCTGTGGCATGAGACGAGTAACACCATTTACACGAGTGATGGAAGCCGAGTTAAAATGTACTTTTCTGTAACTACGGTGTGTGACCAGTTAAAAATAAAAATGTTACTGCGTTTTTTTTCCTCACCCCGTTGACGTTACTATCCTTGTTGCCGCTCATGCTTTGCAGAACAGCGCGATCCAAACCAAGCTTCAGACTTGCTTTGTCCAGCATTTCCCTCTCGTATGAATTCCTGGTGATGAGGCGGTAGACCTTGACCGCCTTTGACTGGCCGATACGATGGCATCTTGCTTGAGCCTGGATAAAAGGAGGTGGAAAGGTGAAGCCGGAACCTACAGCTTTTATAAACAAAACAAGCGGCACCACCTTATGATGTCACACCTGCAGGTCGTTTTGAGGGTTCCAGTCAGAGTCAAATATGACGCAGGTGTCAGCAGCTGTCAGGTTGATACCGAGACCGCCAGCACGGGTACAAAGAAGGAAGACGAAGCGGTCCGAGTCTGGTTTGCTGAAGCGATCGATGGCTGCCTGCCGCAGGTTCCCACGCACTCTGCCATCTATTCGCTCATAAAGGTATCTGAAGGAGGGAAGAAACTCAAAACTCAGAAAATGTGGAATAAGCTCAAAACATCACAATATTTCTGTCAACACTTTATATTTATTGACTGATGCAACAGAAGCAGTTAAGATCATTTAGTAAATTATATATGCAGCCTACCTCTTGTTGATGAGGTAGTCCTCTAGAATGTCTAAGCAGCGCACCATCTGAGAGAAGATGAGCACTTTGTGGCCGCCAGCCTTGAGGCGAGGCAGCAGTTTATCAAGTAGCACCAGTTTGCCTGCGGAGCGAATTAGGGCCTGCAAATGAAAGTCAGGGGCCAGGGGGTCGTACTTTTCTCGTAACTCCGTCACAATCTTCTCCTCCGCACCTGATCAGGACAAGATTATCAGAGAAAATGCTAGTTTCCAAAAAAAGAAGATGGTTAAAAACAGAAAAAGGAAAGATGACAGTCTGGTACCGTTAATGAGGTAGGGGTGGTTGCAGCACTTTCGGAGCTCCATCATTGTGTTGAGGAGGTTTGGGACGTTGCTGTTACTGTTGGCTCCTAGACTAAGGAAACTAAAGTTCCTCTCCAGAATGGCTCGGTAGTACTTCTTCTGGATGTCGGTCAACTCAACCTGTAAGGAAAGCAGCGATTTTAACTTTTCATTCACCAGCTATCTTTAAGAAGGACATTTATTTTAAGTCCTAATCCAAATATATGGAAGTTTATTTTTGAAACATGAGAAAATGTTGAAAGGAGTCAACATTTATTTTATGATGCACTGATATTTATCAGAAATTCTCAAAAGACAAACGGACCTCAATGATGGTTTCCTGCTTGGGTGCTAGGTTCTTCTCAACATCTTCTTTGAGTCTGCGCAACATCATTGGCTTTAAAATAGACTGGAGTTTCTGAACCTGTTAAAAAAGATGATATCACTAAATTATCGGTTTCATATCAAGTGACAATAAAGTGAAAGACAAGAGTTCTGTGTTTCACACCTGCTCCTCCGTTTTAAGGTCTCCAAACTCTCGAAGGAACTCGATTTCAGAGGGGAACTGAGCTGGCTCCAGGAAGTGGAGAAGACTAAAGAGTTCCTCCACGGTGTTCTGGAGAGGGGTGCCGGTCAACAGCACTTTGTGCTCCTGAGGGGATCCATTAGACGTTGAGTAGAAAGAAACAGACATATCTCAGCATTGCGGGACTTTAAACGGTCCACTCACCAGGTCCAGCATCTTCAAGCTGTCCAACAGCTTGCAGTTCCTGTTTTTGAGGCGGTGAGCCTCGTCAATGATCACACAGCGCCATGAGATCTCCCTGAGCTCTGGGCAGTCAGAGAGCACCATTTCAAAAGTTGTGATGAGAGCGTCGAACTTGTACGCTCCTGGAATTAAATGTCCCTGTAAAAAAATAATAAAAATTTAATTCACCTAACAGGATGTGCATGGATTTTCCCCCCTCAAGGGCCAACTCTTGAATGAACCTGCTAAAAACTAGTAAGGATATCAGAGGCTCACCTTATCATCTTTACAGTACATCTCATACTGCTGGATCATCTGTCTGCTGGCGAGGCTTCCATGGTAAACGATGGCATTCATGTTGGTCCATGTGGAGAACTCCCTCTCCCAGTTAGTGATGGTGGAGAGCGGGGCAATAACCAGGAATGGGCCTTGGACTCCAGCAGCGTAAATCTCTGAAAGCAGCGTTATGGACTGGATGGTCTTCCCCAGACCCATTTCATCTGCCAGGATGCAGTTCTGCCTGAAAGAGGAGAACCAAGAGGAGCCGAGTTCAGTGATGGGAGTGTGGGGGGGGAAAAAACAGAAAAAAAAAAATGACCTGTTGCAGGGCTTGATGTTAACCATCGCCCGATCTCCCAAGGGGGCAAGTAGTTTTTATTGTTGGGAGAGTACAAATTTCATTGCATTTGCCCGCCGGGTAAGTGCAATGATTGCAAAAAAAAAAAAAAATTATCACTCAAAATTACTTTAAAATCACCGACATTCGATAAAAACGACCCAGAAGCATTGTCGGCGCCTTTTTTGTTGTTTTGTACACATTCTCGCGTGATTCCGCCAGATGGTGTGATTTTTGTCCACCTAGCGGTAATTTTGATGTAGTTACCCAAACGAAAAACGGCTGCATTTATTTTGTCAGGGAAAACTAATCCTGAGTCAGTTTAAAGTCAGGGAATTCTGAAATTATGTAAGACTGTGGAAACCCTATATAAAATAACTATGTATAATGATTCTCTAGAAAAGTCACATTACATTAATAGTATTATCTTGAATAAACATACCGTGACTCTAAAATAAAAGTTATTCATTTGTGACATTGACTTCTGTCTTGTTTTTAGATTTTTAACATTACAATTTATATTATTCCAAGCACACAACAGTTTAAAGCAAAGTTTAGTTTGTAAAGAATGTGCAGGAAGGATTGAAAAGCATGTTAACACGGTAATGTAGGCTTGAGTTCATTATCTGACGCATGCATATACGCACCAGGAACCTGGAAACTTAAAAAATACTGAATTACAAAAAACATTTAAAAAAACAAAAATGAATATTAGGAACTATATTTATCAAACATTATACTGGGCAAGTAAAAATTGTTTCTGGGCAAATTAAATGTGAAAGTCACTTGCCCTTTGGGCAAGTGATAAAAATCCTTAACGTCAACCCCTGCATGTTGGATAGTTACCTGTTGTACCAGTTAAACAGAAGCCAGTTGACTCCTTCCAGCTGATACTCTCTTAGTGTGTTGCCGTTCTTATATTCTCGGGTCTCCTCTAGCTTCTTCCATGCACTGGCAGACGGGCGGACCTGAGAAAAAGAATATACCCATTAAATCAGGAGGATAATTAGAGAAAGAGACAATTTCCATCATGCAATAACTAAATCAGAGGAAGGCAATGCCACAAAGATGTCAGTCCTTAAAAAAGTTTTCCTCCACTGTAGAATCATTTAACTATTAACACCCAGTGAATCCACTTATGCTCAGACTGTTCGGAAAACGGATTCAATTCAAAATTACTATAATAATCCCAAAGGGATATTTAGTGTTGCAGTAACTCATGGGCAGTTTTTCATTAAGATTTTATAATAGCTGATAGCTGTAGGTTTGCTCTGTAGATTTGACACAACATTTAGCCACATTTCTTTTCCGTGCCATAAAACCTGTATGTGGAACCTTAGAAAAAGAAGAAAACAGATCTCTTTAGGGACAGAAGCATAGAACAGCAAGAAATAGACTCTCATTCAGGCACCAGGGAGAGCTTTCTTCATTCTTTACTTAATTTCCTATTTGTATTTTTATTATTATTTAACCTAAAAGTACAACAAGCTAAAAACAGCTTCATAAATGTATTGGAACACTCAACTGATAATTAAAACAATAATAAAAATAAAATAAACAAAATGCAGGATTCCACCTAAGTTGATATCAGTCCAATAATTGAACCCCCTCCCCTGCACGTGTCAGGTTGTCTTATATAATTTATTCAGTCGAGCTAATTATGCGGGCACAAAAAGCTACATATGGAGTCGATCTTCTTAAAGGGATAGTTCGGGATTTTTGACATGAATCTGTATGACATCCCCATCACCAGTGTCATGCAATCACACTGACTTACCCCTGGCAGCATCCTGTGAGCAGAGTTCTCGTCCAGCTTTGGTCAAGCCGAAAGTAGTCCGGCAGGTTTGCTAGACCCAGCGAAATAAAACGTTTCTCTTCCCAAAACATTATGTGTTCAAAAGAGTGATATTTTTGCATCCCAAAAACATTGTAGTGGAAAAAGTCACACGTCGTTATCACTTGGTCCTATTTTCTCTCTGTTCGTATCAGTGCGCGCCGTCATTCTGACAGCGAGCTCAACTTTTCCAGCTCATTTCAGTGCTAACTTAGCAGCTGCGTTTACAAGCAACGCCACCGAGCTAGCTTTAGAGCTAACTTGAAACAAGTGCACCATGATTTGTCGGCCACCCTGGATATCGCAGCTCCAGCTGTGGCTCCTGCGGCTCCGGCTTCAGCTTCCATCACTTCTCTGTCCACCCTCTCTCTTTCTGCCCGATCTAACTCCATTTGTCGAAGTTCATCGTCAGTGTACTCGAGTTCATAAAGATATCCCTTTGGCTCTAAGTGGAAGTCGATGTTTTCCTCGTCGCTCTCGTAGTCAGACATCTTCCCCAGTAGTAAACAATCGCGAATCAAACAGGTAGGCCCTAGCTGTCAGGTCATGGTGTCGCGCGCACTGATACGAACAGAGAGAAAATAGGACCAAGTGATAACGACGTGTGACTTTTTCCACTACAATGTTTTTGGGATGCAAAAATATCACTCTTTTGAACACATAATGTTTTGGGAAGAGAAACGTTTTATTTCGCTGGGTCTAGCAAACCTGCCGGACTACTTTCGGCTTGACCAAAGCTGGACGAGAACTCTGCTCACAGGATGCTGCCAGGGGTAAGTCAGTGTGATTGCATGACACTGGTGATGGGGATGCCATACAGATTCATGTCAAAAATCCCGAACTATCCCTTTAATCTAAGCACAGTTTTGTATTCCTCCTCTATCACTTTAAGTATTATCACTTAGGTTGTTAGTAGAAAAAGCATCTTCTACTGGATAATAGCCTGATCTCGTTGGTTAATATTGTTTAAGAGGTCCTAATCCTAAGTAAATGTACCATTTTCTTCAGGCGAGGTTGTCTGTTCAGGAGTTTGCCAAACTCTTCCACCTTTCCCTCATCAACATCCTCCTTCAGCTCCCACGTAGCGTCCTCATAGGGTAGAGAGCACCACTTCACTAAGTAGTAGATGACCGGCTGGAGGAGATCAGAGAAGGTAGGCAGGTAAGTTTTAAATGTCTAGAAACGTATTAATAAAAAGATCTCAGACGTTTTAGGGATTTAAAAGGAAAGTCTTAACAGGTAGTTTATCACTGACCTCTCCGTTGTCTTTGTCCACACTGTGGGACACGTCAAGGATCCTGTCCACTTCTACGTAGTCTGGGTTGAAGGGCTCCTCTTCCTGCAGGGAACCAGAATCAGTGTCATTGTTCGGAGTTCCCTCCCAGATTAAAAATGTTTCAGAATCGGCCTGAAGCTAACCTCCTGGAATAAATGCCTCATCTGTGCGTGTTTGGTCTTGAACCTCTTGATCTTTTGATGGATCCGCTTATCTTTCTCCAACTGATCCAAAGTGGCCCACTCACAGTGCAAGTAGGAACTGAGAACGAGAGGGTGAAGATGTTCTAGATATGTTTGACCCTCATAATTGGCGATAAGAACTGCCATGCTAACCATATTTACAGCCATATGGAGACTTACTAGTTTTTATATTTAACGAAGAATTCCTCAATATTGGTATACTGGCCTGGTGACACCTTGTGAAGAAGAGAAGACATTTAGGAACCTTTCAAAATTGTCAAAATACATAACATGGTATAGAGGGCGAATAAAAACCTCTTTCTTGGTTATCCTCATGGACAAGACTTTATCTACAATGGCAGCATCTTCTTCACTAGGATTTTCCTACAAACAAAAAGTGAAAGTGAGAAAGAAAAGTTATTCATATCAAATCCACACACAGATGTAACTGAATTAAAACATCCGTCATCCATGTTAAGATCTTCCCGTTTTCAGTAACTCACTACAAAGAACTGCATGCTGGGCAGCCCGTCCCCGTCAAGCTCCACTTCCTGTTTGAGCTGAGCGGCGGCCCCTCCGCTGATCGAGGCAACTGCTGCCGCCGTCGTGGTCACGTCTACATCTTCCTGCTCGTCCTCATCATCTGTTATTTTAATATCCAAGTCTTCGGTGTATTTCTTCCTTTTCACCACCCGGTTGGAGCGTCTCTTCTGTCCAAAACAGAGAAGCAACTAGTTAAACAAATCTGTCATTGAACCATTTCACTCTGAAACAATAAAATCATAAAAGAATCACTACTAGAATGCTTCAGGGGCCGGATGCAGACAGATTTTCATTCTTCCAAGGCTGCTGTTCGTCTATTGGTTGCAATATTCTGCTTTATATAAATTCTTCACTGAACATTTTACCAACTATTTACACAGGTACTTTGTTTTCCCAGGTTTTACTAAAGAATCTCCATTTATTCTTTATTTTCTGGGGATTCCAGGCAACATATCTAAAGGAGTGTGTGTTTTGTTTATTTTACCATAATCATGTCATCCTCCATAGGGACAGGTGAGGGTGGGCTCAGCTCCCCATCAGAAATGTCTGAAGAGGCGTTTCTCTTTCTTTTCTTTGCTCCTACCAGGGTAATAGTGCTGCAGGGGGAAGGAAGGGAGAAAACCAACTTAGATACAGTTAAAAGCCACAGTGACAATGAAACTTTTTTCCTTAACACAGACTTTCCTGCAGAACACTCACTTTGCTTTAGTCTTGCTTTTGCTTTTGTTCCCAGCTCCAGGTATCACTGTTCCACCGCTTACTGCAATAGTTCCTCCAGATATCTTTACCACTTTACCCTTCTTGTCAGTCCCAACAATGATTTTAGGTATGGGTCCTCCAGACACCAGACTTTTCTTTTTGCTTCCGCCTCCGCCGCTGCTTTTTTTCTTTGCAGGAGACACCAAGGTAAGAGTCCCTCCCATCTCCGGTGAAGTCTGTGTGGATGGAAGCTCGTCCTGATTCAGGACCCTGGGCAGGTTCTTTTCTCCCCGTGCTTTAGCCCGAGCAATGGCTTCAGCTACTATTCGATTTGCCTTCTCCTGCTTGCAAAGAATCTCTACCCGTCGGACGGCCGCGGGCTCGCCGGGGGCCTTGGTAATTCGAATGGCCTGCGAGGGAGTGGTAGTTGTAGCAGAGGGGGCAGCGGTAGACGGGTTGATGACCTTCACCACAGACACGGTGCCGCCGGAAGATGTGGCTGAACTCGTCTGGGTGGGAGAGGAAAGAGAAAATGGTAACTAATCTTCACTGAAAGGTAACCATCTAATGCACAGATGTAAACATCTGCAAATGAGCAGCTTTACCTGTGGCTGCAGAAGCATTTTGAGAGGTACAGCCACCCTCTGTCCTCCTTGGCCTTGGGATATCTGCAACATCTGAGGGCCGCCGGTGCCCCCAGCTCCTGACACAAGCTGGTACTGTTGGCATTAAACAGATACAGGTGCTGGTCATAAAATTAGAATATCATGAAAAAGTAGATTGATTTCAGTAATTCCATTTAAAAAGTGAAACTTGTATATTATATTCATACATTACATACAAACTCATATATTTCAGATGTTTATTTTGTTTAATTTTGATGATTACAAATGACAACAAATGAAAATCTCAAATTCATCATGTCAGAAAATTAGAATATTACTGAAGACCAATAAAAACAAAGGATTTATAGAAATGTTGGCCAACTGAAAAGTATGAACATGAAAAGTATGAGCATGTACAGCACTCAGTATTTAGTTGGGCCTCCTTTGGCCTGTATTACTGCAGCAATGCGGCGTGGCATGGAGTCGATCAGTCTGTGGCACTGCTCAGGTGTTATGATAGCCCAGGTTGCTCTAATAGTGGCTTTTAGCTCTTCTGAATTGTTGGGTCTGGTGTATTGCATCTTCTTCTTCACAATACCCCATAGATTTTCTATGGGGTTAAGGTCAGGAGAGTTTGCTGGCCAATTAAGAACAGGGATACCATGGTCCTTCAACCAGGTACTGGTAGCTTTGGCACTGTGTGCAGGTGCCAAGTCCTGTTGGAAAATGAAATCTGCATCTCCAAAAAGTTGGTCAGCTGCAGGAAGCATGAAGTGCTCTAAAACTTCCTGGTATGTGGCTGCGTTGACCCTGGACCTCAGAAAACACAATGGACCAACACCAGCAGATGACATGGCACCCCAAACCATCACTGACTGTGGAAACTTTACACTGGACTTCAAGCAACGTGGATGAAGTGCCTCTCTTCTTTTCCTCCAGACTCTGGGACCTTGATTTCCAAAGGAAATGCAAAATTTACTTTCATCCGAGAACATGACTTTGGACCACTCACCAGCAGTCCAGTCCTGTTTCTCTTTAGCCCAGGCAAGACGCTTCTGACGCTGTCTGTGGTTCAAGAGTGGCTTGACACAAGGAATGCGACAGCAGAAACCCATGTCTTTCATACGTCTGTGTGTGGTGGTTCTTGAAGCACTCACTCCAGCTGCAGTCCACTCTTTGTGAATCTCCCCCACATTTTTGAATGGGTTTTGTTCTTTTTCATAATATTCACTCGGTGTCTCGCTATGGGATGCAGCCTCCTGCAGCCCTGATAGAAGCATCTATCTCAATCTGCCAATCCTGATTGGCCGGTGGAAGTGCCCGTCATACGCTACGCCTCGTAGCTCCGACTACTAAAGCGTGTGCGGATCACGGCACTCCAATTCAAAACCTCTTCTCACCTGAGAGCTTATCTCACGTCGGAGCCTTCGCTAGCTTAACTGCCCACAGACGGACCTTGCTAGTTTCCGTCGCCGGACGCTAGCACTGTGCTCTGGCTTCTGCCCTGTCCGCTCACTCCAGACCGGACCGGTAACCTTTTGTCTCTCTTCACGGCGGAATCCCTCTCGGCTCCTCTCCACGGACGCTCGAGTCGGACGAGCATTTAGCACACCAGCTACTTCCTCGACCCCGCCACGCTAGCACGCCAGCTAGCTACGGTTCCTTTCCCTACCAGCACTCCAGCTCGTCGGGAAATGGCGGCCGTCCAAAACCCCCACGCCAGGGGAGACTACCGTCTTTGTGGCTGCGGGAATAAAATTTCAGGGAAAGACACCCACCCGGTGTGCAGTACCTGTCTAGGAGTCGACCACGCCAGGTTGGCCCTAGAAATTCCCGGCTCCTGTGGACACTGCAAAGTGTTCACGGTCAAGAGCCTCAGACGCAGGCTAGCCCGCCAGGTTAGCATCTCGGACCGTGATCCATTCCTCCCCACCGCCGCACAAGGTGCAGCCGCGGAGGAGGACGTGGACACAGCTGGGGAAGCCCCGGAGACTGACTACGACTGGGGTGCCCAGTGCGAGCAGCTCCATGCCCCCCCGTTTCCCGAGGAAGACGTGCTGGAAGTCAGTCCCATGGAGGAGGATGACGACACCTCGTTCCTCATATCAGAGGACGAGGAAGAGGATGACACCTTCATGGCCCCAGCACAGCCTGAGAGGCCTAAACCGCCGTGCCCTTCCGCCATGGAAGACAGGGGAGCGAGCTCACCAGCTCCCTCCCTCCATGTGGACCTGCTCGACGTGTGCAAACGCGCGGCAGAGAAGCTGGAGATTCCCTGGCCGGTCGCAATAGCGGAGCCCACCCGGTCCCGCTACGAAGGCAAACGGCTTCCCCTGGCACGAAATGCGGTGAAGCAGCTTCTCCCTGTCTTCCCCGAGTTGCTGACGGAGCTCTCCAAAACATGGACTAGCTGCCCATACAGCAACAGGAGCCCTATTTCGGGCGCAGCATCCCTCGACTGCGAGGCGATGGACGCCCACGGCCTCCTCTCCATGCCTCCGGTGGAAGTCCCGGTAGCTGCGCACCTCTGCCCAGGCAGCGTGAGCCAGCTGTCTGCAGCTTCCCCCAGACGCCCGACGCTGCCAGCTAAGCCCGAACGGTTCCAGTCTGCGCTGACCGAAAAGGCATACAAAGCAGCAGCCCTCTCGGCCAGAGCCCTCAGCGCCCTCTCCATCCTCACTGCCTACCAAGCGGAGTTGTTTGGCGCGTCTGCTGAGGAGCAAGACCCGGATGCGTGGGAGGAGATGGCGGTCATCGCGGACCTGTCTCTCCGTATCCAACGTGTCGCGGTCCAGGCCACAGGGAAGGTGATGGCAACCCTCGTCGTCCAGGAGCGAGCGCGATGGCTCAGTCTCGCTAACCTGACCGACAGGGAGCGGGATGACATCCTGGATATGCCGATCGTCCCTGAAGGCACCTTCGGCTCTGCATTGGCCACAATGCAGCAAAGATGTGAGGCAAAGAAAAAGGACAACGAGGCCCTCAAACTTTGTCTCCCTCGGAAAGCCCCTGCGCCTTCACCTCCGGTGCAACGCAAAACCTTTGCGCATGCAGCCTCCCAGCCGCCGCGTTTTAAGGTACCAAGACGGCCACCACCGCCAGGTCCGCCCCCTCCGATGAGGAAGGAGCGCGGAGCCGGCTGGCAGGGGAAACCTGCCTCCACGACCGCTACGCCGCCGCCGCCCACAGCCGCCGCGAGCTCGGTCCCACAGGCGAGGAAGAAAAAGAGGGCGGCCTGACAGCCGCCAGTTCCTCAGTTGGTGCAGCCTGCTGTTCCCCGTTGCGCAGGCCCACCGTTTTGGCTTGTTTGTGCGCACCCCACGCCACCGTTGCCCATCCCAGAGCCGGTCTGCGAGGAGAAGGACATCGCCCCGGAGGTCTGCGCGGTTGCGCCCCGAGCGGAGTGTCCAAAAGCACAGTCACACACCCTTGTTCAAAGAAAAAATGGTGTCAAAATAAAAATAAATCTGTCACAGCCAGGCCACGAGCCGAGGGTGCAGATAATAAAAAAAGCCAAAACAGACGATGCTCTTTCTATAAGCAGGGTGGCCGCTCAGCCCCCTGCAGCTCTGCTCCCGGGACGGGCACCGCCGTCCCCGCGGAGCAGAGCAGAGCGCTCCACCGTGCCTCCGGTGGTGCCCGAGAATCATTTCTCGGTTCCACCACAGGGGGGCGCGGGGCAGGAGCCGCAATATGTTCCCCCGCTCTCTCTCAGATGGGAAAGCTGGAGAGCAGCAGCAGCTCCACCGTGGGTGTTGCGCACAATTTCCCGGGGATACAGGCTTCAATTCGCCACTGTCCCTCCCCGCTTCTCCGGTGTAATACACTCACATGCACAGGGAGAATCAGCTCGAGTTTTACGGGAGGAAATTCTCTCTCTGATAGACAAACGAGCAGTTTCTGTCGTATCTCCCGAACAGAGTCTTTCAGGGTTTTATTCCAGATACTTCCTCGTCCCCAAACGGGGGGGGAGAGGAATCCGCCCTATTCTGGACTTAAGAGCCCTGAACAAATTCCTGCGGAAATACAAGTTCAGGATGCTGACACATGCAGCTCTGTTGCGTCTAGTAAGACCGAACGACTGGTTTTCGTCCGTGGATCTGAAAGACGCGTATTTCCACATTCCCATTTATCCCCCTCACAGACAATATCTCCGGTTTGCCTTTCAAGGGGTGTGTTACGAATACCGTGTTCTACCATTCGGTCTGTCTCTCAGTCCGAGGGTTTTCATACGGTGCACAGAGGCCGCGGTAGCCCCGCTCAGACGCCGGGGGATACGTCTGGCCACGTATTTAGACGACTGGCTCCTGTTAGCGCAGTCAGAACAGGAAGCCAGGGTTCACACACACATTGTCACAAAACACCTGATGGATTTAGGTTTTGTGATAAATATGGAAAAAAGCCACCTATCTCCAACGCAGGAGATATGCTTTCTGGGATTATCCCTGCGCTCTGTTCCGTTCACAGCCCGCCTGTCAGAGGAAAGAGTGACGGTTTTCAGAACGTGCCTGTCACAATTCCGTCTGCACAGGTCTGTCCAGTTCAGACTGTGCCTTCGGTTGCTGGGTCTGATGGCCTCAGCCATCCTCGTGATTCGCCTCGGCCGCCTTCACATGCGGGACTTTCAGCGCTGGGTCGCTTCGCTCCGAATGGACCCCGTGCGTCATGGCGCACGGCGGATAACGGTCACAGCGGACTGTATAACCGCTCTGCGCTGTTGGCGAGCCCCGTCCTTCCTGACCCAAGGGGTGCCTATGGGCACCGTCTCGTCCAGGAAAGTGGTAACCACGGATGCCAGCCTATCAGGCTGGGGCGGCATTCACGAGGGCAGGTCTGTGAGGGGTCGCTGGAGCCAGGCCCTCCAGCACCTTCACATAAACTTTCTCGAACTTTCGGCGATGTTTCTTTCTCTGAGACACTTCCTCCCATTCCTCTCGGGTTTACCATGTCCTGGTGAGGACGGACAACACGACAACAGTGGCGTATATCAACCGCCAAGGGGGCCTGCGCTCCCGCATGTTGCACAATCTGGAGCGCGACCTGATTCTCTGGAGCAGTACCCACTTTCTCTCCCTGAGAGCGACGCACGTCCCGGGAGACTTGAACACGGGTGC